AATATTCTGTCCTTGTGTAATTAGTAAAATGTTTGCTCTCTCTCTCTAAATTCTAGCCTGCTTATCAAAGATTTACAGAATCTTCTAGATTGGACCCAGATCAGTGTGTTTGTGTGGGGGGGGGGGGAGGGGGCGGGGGGGGGGCAGGATTAATGTACCAACTGGAAACAGAGATTTAGAAATTTCTCTCTTCCTTGGATCCCTGCCATCGCCTAGCTGTCTACAACCCCCACCCACTTTTGCCTTACTCTCCTCTTTTCCCTTGATATAAAAGATGCCTGAATTCTGGGCTCTCTTAAGATTGATTTTCAAAAGCTATAAGGCACCCCCATCTGCTTGAGTTGGGCCTTCTTGATCAATAAACCTTTCCTTTAAATTTCGATGTATTGAATATTGGCCCACAAACTCTGAACAGGTAACATTTGCAGGTGATCAACCACAGCATTGCAACTCTGGTGAAGGGGGAAAGGGTGTAGAAAAAGAGGGTTAGACAGATAAAGAACTTGCCAAAGATAACACAAGTAGGAGGAAAGAGTCAGGATGTGAATCAAGATACATACAACTAAAAAGGAATGAGACTGAATGTTCAATGGAAGGAACTTTGTTTAGACATTCAGAGAGTAGTTCAACCTACCAGGAGAATAAAATCTAGTTTGCAGAGGGACAAAGTAGATTCTTTCACCATGTCTGTGGAAGTGCTATAGGCGCCAGAAACACCAACAAAGATATCAGACAGCCCCCTGAGTTGAAGGGAGAGGGCTGTCCCCTCCTCGGTTCATGCCTGTCTCGTAGGAAGGAATTCAAAGAGTGACCCTAGCTGATTGCGTTGTAGTAAAGCAAATTTACTAAATTTATTAAAGAAGCAAGGCAAGCAAATCTATCATACTTCTGGCTTATGGAAGCACAGATGGACTTCCCAGCTAGTCTGAGAAGTGAGCCTGGTGGAGATTTAAGGGGTTATACTCCCTTCTATCTATAGGTTTTTAAATTTCTCTGCTGAATATCTTGGTACAGATTAAGGTCTCCCTTTTACTTTTTTATGGCTTTCCCAGAATTTATGAGAAGAATTTGGCAATTTTATCTTTTAAGGAGCCCCAAGACTGCTGGCTTCTCAGTTTAAACAATGTGATGAACACTCCCTCTTCTCTCCTCCTTCCCCAAAACGACTGACTTCTTTGAGATAAATCTCTCCCTTCTTTCTTTCCCCCTGCCCCCTCCTGCCTTAGCAGTTCCAGGGTGATCTACACTGTGTATTCTGTGGTTAGGGAGAAGAGGCATTAAAACTCACCCTTCTTTCCTGCATTCTTTGGTTAGGGAGGAGAGGCATTAGTCATTTGTTCTCAAGCATCCTTGGTTGGAAAAGATAAGATCTTGGTCTTGCTTAATTTTCTTGTCTCAGTTTCCCTATTCCTCTTGCCCTGGAATTTTCCTAGCTTCTCATTATCCTGTAATGGAAGGAGTTACAGGACCCAGTTTTCAGTAGACTGCATCAATCCTGGGGTTCAGTGATTTGGTGAACATTAAAAAAACATGAACAAATGTATTTGTCCAGGATAGGAGTAAATTTTGAAAAGAGGACCCAAGATGGATCTATAATGGTTTGAGCACCTGTCAGTGAAGCCTGTCAGCCATCTATGTATTCCATGTAGGCTCTTTGGAGAAAAGGTTAAACAAAACTTGTAATAAAAGTGCAGGTGAATTCAGTACAAGAAATACATAAAACAATGTATTATTAACAGAGCGGAAAGGTAAAAGGAATTCCTAGGCACAAAGTGAAAGCAGATACCAGGATAACAACTGTGTAGCAGACATGGTGAACAAAGAGGCCAGGTGAGAAGTCAGAAAACTCTGAAAAGAGGCCACTTCTGAGAAATAAAAATGACACAATATTTGAAGGGTTTAAAAGTACCAACTAGAGCAGCCGTGGGCAAACTACGGCCCGCGGGCCGGATCCTGCCCGTTTGAAATGAATAAAACTAAAAAAAAAAAAAAAAAAAAAAAAAAGACCGTACCCTTTTATGTAATGATGTTTACTTTGAATTTATATTAGTTCACACAAACACTCCATCCATGCTTTTGTTCCGGCCCTCCGGTCCAGTTTAAGAACCCATTGTGGCCCTCGAGTCAAAAAGTTTGCCCACCCCTGAACTAGAGGTTTCGACAACTGGTAACAAGTTTGAGTTAGTGATAAGAACTTGGAAAACCAAACAGAAAAATCAAGATAATTCAGCACTGAAGGAACATGAGTTGTGCAAGAAGAGAATAGTTATTCTCAAACAGGGGTTAGCAAAATATGGCCCTCAAATCCACCTGTTGCCTGTTTTGTACAGCCTTTAGGCTATGAACAGCTTTTACCTGGTTGAATAAGTCAAAAGAAAAACATTTCATAATACACGAACTTCCAATTTCATGTTTATAAAGTTTTTTTTGGAACCCTGCCACCTCATTCTTTTGTGTAACGGTAGAGTTGCATAGTTGCAATAAAACAGTCTGGCCCAGAAAGCCTAAAGTATTTACTGTCCCCTATAGAAAATTTTGCTAACTCAAAAAAATGGTTATTTTTCTCTTTACATGGTCATTATTGAAAACTCAGAAATATGGATAAGCAAAGCGAACATAAATAACCATAATCTCATATAATCTCACTATCCCAAGATAACCATAATTAATAGTTTGGTATATATGCTTCCAGGCATTTTTTTTCTGTGTGTGTGTGTGTGTGTGTGTGTGTGTGTGTAAAATGCACTATACTCTAGTTTTAGAAAATACTCATTAACATGTTAACATGCTATTTTTCTTCAATATTACTTAAGATTACTGTATGCTATTCCCTTATATGGCTGTGCCATTCTATTTTTAAGACATATTGTGGACAATTTACTGTAGTTTCTAGTTTTCTCCTATTATAAACTTTGCTTTAATAACTTTACTTATTGGTAAATCTCTGTAAACATCCATATTTTTCCTTAGGATTAGCTATATATGTAGAAATATCAGGTCAACTAGAGTGTACATTTTAATATTTTATATTTTTACTTATTTTATTGATTTTTAGAGAGACAGAGAGATATTGATTTTTGTTGTTCCACTTATTTATGCATTTATTGGTTGATTTTTTTTGTATGTGCTCTGATTGAGGATCAAACCTGTAATCATGATGTATTGGGATCTCTAACCAATTGAGCTACCCAGGAGAATAAAATCTAGTTTGCTGAGTCCTGACCGGGAATCGAACCACGACCTCCTGGTTCATAGGTTGATGCTCAACCACTGAGCCACCGCAGCTGGGCTAATATTAGCTTTTAACTATTTTCCTCCCAGTCAGCTGTCAAATTCTGTAGGTTCTGTATTTACAATTTTACATCTGATTCTTCCTTTCTAATTTCAGTGTCATATTCTCCCATCTTCCTTCTTCCTCCATTTTCCTCTCACTACCTGGATGGCTTAGTCTGTTCAAGCTACTAAGACAAAGTATGACAGACTGAGTGGCACATAAAGAACAGAAATTTATTTCTCACAGTTCTGGAGGCTTGGAGTCTAAGAGCAGAGTGCAGCATGGTCGAAGCCCTCCTACAGGATGCAGACTTACTAACTTGTCAGTGTCCTCAAAAGGGGATGTGGCAGGGATCTCCCTAGGGTCTTTTTTTATTATAAGGGCACTAATCCTATTCATGAGGACTGGATCAAAGGCCCGCCTCTAAATATTACCACATTAGGAGTTAGGATTTCCACATATGAATTTTGTGGGGACACATTCTGACCATAGCACTGGATTATTCCAATATCCTTCTAACAGGATTCTCTGTTACAACTCTCCCCTTGTCCAGTCGCTTTCCAATGCTATTGCCAGATCTATCTTCACTCTTGGCATTTATAAAGGCCTTCCACAATGTGGCTGAAACCAAGGGTCTGGTCTCATTACTGTGATTCTTCTAGATAAAACCTAGGTCCAGCCAAATAAAATACTTACTGTCTCCTCAATATGCATTTTCTCACCTTAATACTTTAGTTCATGTTGTTAGGTCCTGGTGGAAAATGCTTCTCCTCGTCCCCACCTCCCCACCCCCAATCTCTGTCACTCAGAAATACTATCCGTTCTTTTTCTGTTGTTGTTAATCCTCATCTGAGAATATATTTTTCCATTGATGTTTAGAGAGAGTAGAAAGGAGGGAGGGAGGGAAAGGGAGAAAGGGAAACATTGACGTGAGAGAGATACAACTGGTTGCCTCCTGCACGCCCCCTATTGGGAATTGAGCTGGCAACCCAAGCATATGCCCTGACAGGAATTGAACCAATGACCTCTTGGTTCCTGGGTCGATGCTCCCTAGTCCGGCAGCACATGAACATTCTTAAGCCCTTCAAAGGTTTGTGGAATTTGGGTATTTCCAAGCACTGCTGCACAACTGAAAAATGCCAAAGGTTAAGTTCCCAGGCTAGTTAAAGCAGGAAGAGAATTGCTTCCTTTGCCTTAGCCTACTTGATTTTTATAATTTAGCAGCTTGACATAGCGACTCCATTTTATTTCTTCACTCTTTTCCTCAGCCTGAATCAAATTCTTCGTGCCTGGCTCATTGTAAGTATTTAAAATGTATTAAATGAACGGTATACACTCCATTGGAATACTATGTAACTAAATGCATGTGAAATCAGGTTTAAGAGAAAAAAAATTTAACAAAACATTGGTATTACATCTAAAAAACCCCTACATATGGAAGCAGGTTGTTAATAATCAGAAGGGGCCAGAGAAAGTCAACTGTCACATGTGTACTGCAATTTATTATATTATTATTATTATTATTATTATTATTATTATTATTATTATTATTATTTGTGTGTGTGTGTGTACTGCAATTTAAAAGGTGTCCTCGTGCATACTTTGATTCTCACAACCCTGTGAAATACGCTCCGGGAGGTATTATTAAGCTGTTTGATTGGTAAGGAAGCTGACGCACAAGAGGTCAGAAATGACTAAGGCGGGGCCGGAATTCTAGCCCCGCCTCCCGGAACCGGCTCCTTCCCGGACACCCCTCGGCAGCCCCGAATGGCGCTGGGGGTCTCTGTTTGCTTGTCTTCACCCCCGTTACTTTCGCAAACCAAACCCAGAGCTGCAGGCGGCCGCGAGGGGCCGGTGCCCGGGAAGGCGCAGGTGCCGGCGGCGGCGTTCCAGAGCGGCGCCGTAGGCTCCGGACCGAGCCCCGAAGGTCGGCCGGGGCCGCTCCCGCGGGGCCGCGCCGGGCCGGGCGGGCGGTATGGCTGCGGTGCTGGCCTTCCGGGTGCTGGCGGTCCTGGTGGCCGCGGCGCTGACGGCCGTGCTCCTGGAGCACTACGGCCTGGCCGGCCAGACCTCGCCGCTGCCCCAGCCCCGCGTCCCCAGGAGGCCGCACCCTGCACCGGGCCCCGGAGCCAGCAATATCTTCTGGGGTCTGCAGGTGACGCTGGGGGGGCCTAGCCAGGGGCGGGGGGCGGGGGGAGGGCCTGGGTGCAGAGCTGGCAGGACTCGGTGAGATGCTGGCAGTTTCCGCGGGGGCAGGACCCGTGCCCATTCAGGCCCCCAACCCTGGGCAGGGGCGGGGGCGGGGGTGGGGATGGGGGGGCGCCTCGGTCCTTCCCTGGCGGGGGTGGGTTCTCTGTTGCACTGCATCTTTGCTTTTTCCTGCCCCCATAGAGAGCCGCTGGGTCGCTCTGTACGTGCTGCCTCTTCCTGACTCAGATATCTGTTTAATACCTGCTTTCGGCAGATATCCGACCTTCACCTGAGCAGGTTTCATGACCCAGGCAGAGCTGCAGACTTAGAAAAGTTCTGTTCTGAAACTATTGACATCATTCAACCAGCTCTCGTCCTAGCAACAGGTAGGGAAGGTTGCTGTGCTGTCATGTTGTTCTGTGGTCCGGAAGGTAGAATGATAGCCAGGGCTGCAGCCCTTCGCTTTGGCCCCAGGGGAGTCCTCCTGTAGAGGAGATAACACCTTATACGTCCGTTTGCCTGTGGGTAACTGAATCAAGATCCAGGATAAAAGATTTGTCATAGCAAGGTTTTGTTAAAGCGGTAGAAGCAGGACTCAGTGTCCTCATCTTAATGTCTGCTGTATTTGTATCTGTTTTTGATGTTGCATTCCTGAATTTGAGAGGGGATTAGGGAAAGCCCTTTAACCACAACTCAAAAGTTACCTTTAAAACAAAACGCACTCATGTTTCCATGTTTTTTACAGTTAATCATATTGTCAATTGTTTGAGGCTTAAATTGCGCAGGACACCTTTTTCTTCAGCCCTTGGTACTTCTGAGACTTGGGTTCCCTAGAGTTTTCAAACCCCTAACCATTTGCTCCCAAACCATGTTGGAGGAGGAGCTAAAGGAGCATCTATCTTGTCTGCTAGGGGATTCACCCCACCCCCCTTACTGAAACACCTCTACTGATATGATGGAATAGCAGTCCTCATCTTATGGCAAACTTCTATTTCAAGGGTCTGTCTAGTTTTCTAGAAATTTTGGTATTTCTTTGTCCAATCTACACCTTCCAGATTGCTTCTTGCTGTAAAAATAATACTTGGTTAGATTACAGCCGTTGCCATAGACATTAGGCACCTGCCCAGACTGTTGGAATTTCTTATAATTTTCATTACAGTCCCATGCTTTCTTTTTTATTTTTTTTAAAATATGTTTTTATTGATCTTTAGATTGAGAAGAAAGGAGAGGGAAAGATAGAAACATCAAATATCAATCGGCTGCCTCCTATGGGTGATGCAGCCTGCAACCCGAGCATGTGCCCTGACTGGGAATTGAACCAGCAACCTCTTGGTGCATGTGTCAATGCTCAGTCCACTGAGCCACACTGGTCAGTCCATGCTCTCTTTAAATATATATTTTTTCACAACCCATTTCTAATATAGGAGGTCAGATAGGCATTTGCTAAGCTATAAGGAACAAATGAATGGACTCAAAAGTGGTTATGCTTACACATGTGGAATACTTTAAGTATCTGTTCCTTCAGTGTGCATTAAAATAAATTGAACCTTGAACCTCCTCTGGGGTTTATTTTGTATTGCGATTCAGTTCTTATGTAAATCTGCAGGGGATCTGACAGATGCCAAAACAAAGGACCTGTTGGGATCTATGCAGCAGAAGGTAGAATGGCAAACTTACCATAGTATCCTGAAGAAGACAAGGGTCATGGAAAAAACCAAGTGGCTTGATGTCAAAGGAAATCATGGTAAGAGCCAAGACCCACATGTATTAAGGCTATATTTTTATTTCCTCCAGGAGCCTAGATTCTTTCATTTAGATTATAAAATGGGACATTGTAACCTAGGTTTAGAGATACTAAAGGCCACAATTCTGAAATACAGCTATGATATGTGATTTTAAAACGACAGGTGTCACCTGGCCAGCGTGGCTCAGTGGTTGAGCGTCGACCTATGAACCAGGAGGTCATGGTTCGATTCCCCATCAGGGCATATGCCCAGGTTGCGGGCTTGATCCCCAGTGTGGGCATGCAGGTGGCAGCCGATTAGTGATTCTCTCTCATCATTAATCTTTCTCTCCCTTCCTCTCTGAAATCAATAAAAATATTTTTAAAAAATAAGTAAATATGAAACTACAGATGTCAATGTTGGCCTTAGAGGGGAAAGTTGTATGGTCCTTTCTTCTTTACATGGAAGAAAAGCTTCTAGCAAAATCCATACAGGTGAATATTTTAAAAAATATGCATTTTGCTAGGTGAAAGAAGCCAAACTTGTCAATCTATATACTGTATGATTCCAGTTTTATGACATTCAAGAAAAGGCAAAACTATGGGTAGATAACAGATTGCAGTTGTCAGGGGTGAGGATGGGGAGAAAGTTGACTATAAAGAGGCTTCAAGAGAGAATTTTGGTGGGTAGTGGAACTGTTCTGTATGTTGATTGTGGTGGTACATATGTTACTGTGCATTTCTCAAAATCCATAGAACTGTACATCACAAAGAATGAATTTTACTGTGTATAAATTGAAATTGCAAATAAATCCCCATCAGCATGAGGAGAGAAATGGATAATCCCTTTCTGTTTTTAAATGATCATTGTTGTGATAGTAAGGAAATGAACTCTTCTCCAAAAGTATCATGATGGTAGTAGATTTGCTGGTTTTATAAAGGTTGACTTTCTTACTGGTTAGTTACTTAATTTGTCTGCTTCATTTGATTATTCATTAGTGGTAAGTACCTAATTATATTTTTAAAAACTCTACTATTTTAAGCAGATAAGTCTGTCTGGTGAAATATACAGCTGTTGGTTTGATTAAAAGATGCCTTCTTACAAAGCAACTATGAATTATAAATTGAAAATAGGATATCTGGCTTACAGCTTTCTCTGCTATATTTACATTTCCCCTTTTCCCTGATCCTAATTAGTGGTACAGGTCAAATTCTTTTGCAATAAATAATAAATATGTGTATTTTTAAAAAAAGTTTTCCAAGCCAAGGTGCTGGCTTATTTCAAGTAAGAAATATCAAATAGACTCTTGTGTTTAAATAATCTGCATAGTCCTTGGAGTTCATAAAAATCTAACTTAACTTGCATAGGCATAAATGTTTATGGTATGGGCATATACATACATGCTGTGCTATCATAGGAGGAGAAACTAATCTTTACTAAAATGTATAACAATTTTTCTCTTACTAAGCAAGAAGTTACATATACATTATATTCCTTTGGGGCTAGAATGGACGTACAGATTAATTTCTAAGGTTATTAGAAATGTAGTGGATTCCTGGAATTGAAGCAGTTTTAGCTGTTGGAATCAGTCTGTCAAACTATGAAATCACTGTATTTCCAGATAAATGCTCTATGACATCCTGAACCTTAACCCTTACCATTATGTATTTCCTTTCTTACTGAATCTTCTTTAAGATTTAAGGGGAGCCCTGGCTGGTTTGGCTCACTGGATAGAGCGTCGGCCTGGGGACTGAAGGGTCCCAGGTTCAATTCCGGACAAGGGCATGTACCTTGGTTTTAGGCACATCCCCGGTGGGGGGTGTGCAGGAGGCAGCTGATCGATGCTTCTCTCTCATCGATGTTTCTAACTCTCTGTTCCTCTCTGTAAAAAATCAGTAAAATATATTAAAAAAAAAAAAAAGATTTAAGAGGAGAGGGGCTATTATCAAAGTAATCTGTTTTTTAGAGGCACTTGGTATGTATCCATATATCAGGCATCAATCCAGTCCTTGCTGGCTTCCAGAATCACATGATTAAAACAACAGCAATACCATCCAGTCTTATACTTTCAAATTGATGTGTATTCTAAATAGTACATGATTCAAAGTACAGTGGGGCCTTGACTTACGAGTTTAATTCGTTCCATGACGGAGCTCGTAACTCAAATTACTCGTATGTCAAATCACTGTGATGTTCGCTGCGCCAACTAGCGGTGGGGTATCTGAAGCTGGCTTGTAACCTGAATTTTAGCTCGCAACTCAACTCAAAGCAAAAAATCGGCCGAGAGACGGCTGTATCTCGAAAAACTCGTTAGTCGGGACACTTGTAAGTCAAGGCCCCACTGTATTTATTATTCTCCAGTATACTAGTTGCCTTAAACAAGTTTCCAGATAATCTGAATTCTGTTTTCAAATTTTAAAAATTATCAATCTAATTTATTGGCATTCTACCATTTAAAGTGTTATTGAAAGAATTGTAATTTTTCTTTAGTCATTAACATGTTTGCACTTTTTAAAAAAAATATTTCTACTAATTTTGAGAAAGAGAGGAAGGGGGAGAGAGCGAGAAAGAGAAACATCGATGTGAGAGTGGGACATTGATTGGCTGCCTCCCACATGCTCCCCACTAGAGATCGAGCCCACAACTCAGGCATGTGCCCTGACTAGGAATTGAACCAGCAACCTTTTGGTGCATGGGATAATGCCCAAACAACTGAGCCACACTGGCCAGGGTTCATTTTTCTTTTTAATATAGATGATGTTTGCTCTTTTCTTTTTAATTAGATTCATTCAATGTTCCAAGTCTGGAGAGCGTCGAGAATTATTACAGGTACTGTAATGAACAGAAGACAGACCATCATGTGTTACAAGAAGGGTACAGTCAATGAATGGGTGAAACATTTTTTAACAGATAAATTTCTATTTATAGAAACTGGTAATTTAGAAAAGGAAACTTTTTTTTTTAATGTGTATGACATTCAATTTTTTGTTTTTGTTTTGGGACTTCTTTTAATTGTTTTTATTTCATGTGCTTTCATGCTTTTTCTTGGGTTATGGTACTTGTAATATTCCACATAGACATTTATTTATTTGTTTATTTATTTATTGCCATTGATGCATAGCAGAAGTCATTTAGATCATAGCTTGTCAGCTAGAATACTATAGGTTTTAGGAATGCTGAGATACTGATTTTCTCACCCGCTAGGGTGGCTGAAGTGCCCAGTTGGTCACCTCTGGCTGCTTTATCCTTTCATTCCAGAATGTCACACAAATATTAAAGTTTTCTTTATGTGCAATGTATATGAAAAAGATGGTGAATGTGAAAGGATCTTGAGTTAGAAAACTGATTCTGTAATCTCAATGTGTTAAGATTTTTCTTTTGATTATAATTTCACAGTATTTCTGCATTGTCAGTCAAGTAGCAAATATTTATTGAGAGCCCATCATTAGTTAGATAGCATGAGAGATACAAGAGTTAATATTCGTAAGACTTCTGTATAAATGTTTAAGATTCCGGCAGGTGGGTGTAGATCCACCGGTCATACAGCTACCTAGACAACCCTTGTATGTAAGTTCACTTATTAAACTGGTCACCTACAAAAAAAAAGAGTTAATATTAAAAAATATAGTCTATACCAGTGATGGCGAACCTTTTGAGCTCGATGTGTCAGCATTTTGAAAAACCCTAACTTAACTCTGGTGCCGTGTCACATATAGAAATTTTTTGATATTTGCAACCATAGTAAAACAAAGACTATCAAAGAAGCGAAAATTGTGTCCAGTCTTTTTTATTTTTTAATATTTTTTATTGATTTTTTTTAGAGGAAGGAGGGTAGAGGGAGCAGGGAGAAAGATAAAAACATCGATGACAGAGAAGCATTGATCAGCTGCCTCCTGCACACTCCCTACTGGGGATCAAGCCTGCAGTCTGGGCATGTGCCCTGACAGGGAATCGAACCAGTGACTTCTTAGTGCATACGTTGACACTCAACCACTGAGCCATACTGGCTGGGCTGTGTTCAGTCTTAAAAGAGGGGTAGCATTTCAAAAAGTAAGATACTTCGAGTGGTATATTTTAGGCAAAAACAACAACAACAAAACCAACCCCAAACAAAAAAACAAAATAAAGCGAACTCCCTGAACTTTAAAAGCTAGAATGAACTTTTAGGGGCAGTAAGGAAACTGGTTATCACCAAAATTAGGGTTCATAATGAGGACTGGTATCTTGGGGCCAATTTAATGGAGGTCTTAAGTGAGAAGCATAGAGATTTAGATGTGATGAGTAATAGTTCATAATCCAGTACAAGTTCCTAAGAAGACAAGTAACATAATGAAAATAGTATCTTATAAAGACAATTGCACAACAACAACAAAAAGATAAGGATAAAAAAGAAAAAAGAGGGAGAGACTGGAGCTGTATGGATACCAAATAGAAGAGTCCTGCAGTAGTCCAGTCACAGTATGAAAAGGGCTTGAGAAGACAAACCTGTCTAACTAAGTTCCTGGATATGGGAATGGTGGCATCAATTTGAGGATGATATGTCAAAAAGAATTGGTTACCATATAATTAGTCGCCATAACTTGGAAGAGGAGGTATTCCTCTTTTGTTAATGTGAGAAAAGAAAAGGACAGAGATGAAAATCTTTCACTTTCTATTAACTGTTTGTGTCTTTGATTGTGACTATGGGAATGGAGTTAAGAAACATTTTCAAAGAAGAATTAATAGGGTTTAGGATCTGAGTGTTTATTGGGAAAGTAAAGTTATTAATCCCTTTAAAGTTTCTTATCTTTATACTAGAAGCCCGGTGCACAAACTTCCTGCACGGGGTGGGGGGAGGGGTCCCCTCAGCCCAGCCTGCACCCTCTCCAATCCGGGACCCATCGGGGGATGTCTGACTGCCTGCCTGCCTGATTGCCCCTAACTGCTCCCCCTGCTGGCCTGGACATCCCCAACTGCCCCCCCCTGCTGGCCTGGTCGCCCCCAATCCCCCCCCCCCCCGCCCCGCTAGCCTGGTCACCCCTAACTGCCTCCCCCGCCAGCCTGGTTTCCCCATGCAGCCTGCTGTTTCATCGTTTAGTCACCCCTCACTGCCCCCCCTGCTGGCCTGCCTGGTCACCCCACACAGCCTGCTGCTCAGTCATTTGGTCATCCCTCACTAACCCCCCTGCTGGCCTGGTTGCCCCACGCAGCCTGTTCGGTCGTCCATTCAGTTGTTTTGGTTGCGACGGTCACTTGGGCTTTTATATATATAGACTAGAGGCCCGGTGCACAAAAATTTGTGCACTCGGAGGAGGGGGGGGTGGACCCTCAGCCTGGCCTGTGCCCTCTCACAGTCTGGGACCCCTCGGGGGATGACCATCTGCTGGCTGAGGCCTGCTCCCCAGGGGATTGGGCCTAAGATGGCAATCAGACATCCCTCTGGCAGCCCAGCAGCCCTCGGGGGATGTCCACTTGCTAGTGGGGAGCAGACCTAAGCTGCAGTCAGACATCCTTAGAGCTGCTAAGGAGGTAGGAGAGGCTCCCACCATCACCGCTGTACTGGCAGCCATCAGCCTGGCTTGTGGCTGAGAAGAGCTCCTCCATGTGAGAGCTCACCAACCACCAAGGGCAGCTCCTGCATTGAGCGTCTGCCCCCTGGTGGTCAGTGTGTGTCATAGTGACCAGTCATTCCCAGCCTTTCTGCTGTTAGGGTCAGTTTGCATATTACCCTTTTACTATTTAGGATAGAGGCCTGGTGCATGGGTGGGGCCTGGCTGGTTTGCCCTGAGGATGTCCCGGATCAGGGTGGGGGTCCCGCTTGGGTGCCTGGTGCCTGGGTGAGAGGCTGATGGCTGTTTTCAGGCTGCCCGCACCCCCTTCAGGGTGGGGGTCCCCACTGGGGTGCCTGGCCAACCTGGATAAGGGGCTGAGGGCTGTTTTCAGGCGGGCCAAGCCTGCAACTGAAGCTCCCAGTCTCTCCTTTTTTTTCTTTTTTCTTTTTTTTATTCTGGGATTTATTTACCTTCTGTAATTGAAACTTTGTTGCGGCTCCAGCTCGAGGCTGGCTGGCTGAAAGCAGGTATCTGGGGTTTGTTTGGCTTCTATAATTGAAACATTGTTGCGGTCCTGCTCGCTCCAGCTCTGACGGCTAAAAGCAGGTATCTGGGGTTTGTTTAGCTTCTATAATTGTAACATTGTTGCTTAGAGTGCAGCTCAGAGCCCAGCAGCGGCAGGCAGGGAACCTTGGCTTCCTCCATCACTGGAGCAAGCAAGCCTCCTGTTCGCTTCAGCTGCCTGGCTGCTGGCCGCCATCTTGGTTGGCAGTTAATCTGCATATCCTGCTGATTAGCCAATGGAAAGCGTATCGGAGGTATGGTTAATTACCATGTTTGTCTATTATTAGATAGGATTTTTGTTCCTAAGTGCCTAGCCTATCTGAGTTTAATAAATAGCACATATCTACATATCTTCATATCTATCTATCTATCTATCTATCTATCTATCTATCTATCTATCACAGAAATATCAACCTGAAGGAAAGAAATCTTGAAGTTAAATCTTGAGCTTAAGAATGCCCCAGAGGATGTGGAGAAAAGGGAACACTAGTTCACTGCTAATGGGAATGCACTATGGATAACAGTATGAAGTTTTCTCAAAAAATTAAAAATGGAACTGTCATTTGACCCAGTGATCCCACCTCTGGGAATATATCCTAAAAACTCCGAAACACCAATCAGAAAGAATATGTGCATCCCTATGTTCATAGAAGCATTATTTATAATAGCTAAGCTGTGGAAATAGATCAAGTGCCCATCAATAGATGAATGGGTAAAAAAGCTGTGGTACATTTATACAGTGGAATACTATACAGCTGTAAAAAGGAGGGACCCTTTACCCTTTGAGACAGCATGGATGGACCTGGAGACTATTATGCTAAGTGAAATATGCCAATCAGAGAAAGACAAATATCACATGATATCATTTACTTGTGGAATCTAATGAACAAAAGGAATTGACCAACAAAATAAGACTGAAAGCATGGAGGCATGAACAGACTGACTTAACTTGATGTGGGGTTGCAGGGAGGAGGAGCAATAAACCAAAACACTTATATGCATAGTCCATGGACACAGACAATAGTGTGGTGAAGACTTGTGGGGAGGGAAGGAGGGGAGAAAGTAGGTATTAGGCAGAGGCGGGTAAAGGGGAAAAAAATGGGAGACATCTGTAATACCGTCAACAAAATAATAAGAAAATAATTTAAAAAAGAGTGCCCCAGTGAATGCCAAAATCCAGAATTCAAAAATGTTATTAACTATCATATATTTTAACCTCTCCCTTTAAATAGTTGGATTTATTTTTTGATAGTTGGATTTTAACGTGTCAAAAATACAGCAATATAAACAACATATGAGATTATAAAATCCTGAAGAATAACTCTGAAAACCTATTGAGCAGGAAAAATATAAATAAACTTTTTAATGAGGAAGAAGCCCTGAAATGAAAATTTTAAAAATACCAAGAAGAGAGGCAATAGAATTGACTATTAATTGTAATATGTATGATAATTTATGATATAGTTGATGGCTGTTGTGGCTTAAATTTAGCTCCCTGATGGCACATTAAGTTTCAGAAGTTTATTTGTATTTTTCATATATGCTTTTAGGTAAAAAGTCATATAGGACACTTAGATATTTTCTTAAAATGTTCTGACATTTGAATACTATAGGTATACCCCAATGTAATCTATACTTTCCTTACATTTATTTAACAAATATTTAACAAGTGCCTACTTTATGTACTATGTTACCCATCCTTTCGCTCTCCTCTTCACTCTCCTACTTTATGGACACCTGAACACTATTGACACTTAAGATGGTGAGGACTTTTATTACTGGATATGGACCCTGTGAATGTTATCAGTATGTTTTTAGGAACTGAAAAAGGTTTACTGACTCATACCTAGACTATCATTTTTCTCCTGGTTCGATGGCTTCTTTACAAGGTTTTATCGCTAGTTAAGCCTCTGTAGTCCTGTTTTAAGAAATAAACACTTTTGTATCTCACTGCACCAAGAATTCTACTATGTACTTAGTAGGACTTCACTACAGTTTTAATGATTGGTAAGTACCATTTCACTAGGTTCTGACCGATCTCTTTTTAAATGTTTAGTGGACTGTTAAAATCGCCCCCTACTTCTCTGCTTTACTTGGCAACTTTGTGTGTTGGTTACTGTCTTTAGAGACAATGGGATAAAAATATTTAAAATTTCTTTTACACTTTATCCATTGTGGATCTAGTTCAGTCTGTTTCTCTGTCAGATCAGGGGAGGCAAACCATGGTGTGATATTAGGGCATTTAAACATATTCAGTTTTTTTATGATTGCATTAAAACTTTTCTGTCTTGTATTTTTTAGGAAATATTCTGCCATACGTACGGATGGCTCTTTCCATTATGTTCACAGTACTCCCTTTGGAAACTATTCTTTCATCTCTTTGGATGCCACCCTAAACCCAGGGCCTAAGAGGCCCTATAATTTCTTTGGAATTTTAGATGAGGTACAGTAAAAATCTCACTTCTCTTTGTAGCTAACCTACTTTTCTCAGATACATGTGGCTCACTTAAAATTATCCTAGGGAAACAAGTTCTTATCTAAAAATGCTTGAGAAAAAAGTTTCCTGAGATTACAGGTATAGCCAGAAGAAATTACTGGCTACTTCAGTACTGTTATAAGTACCTCACATTTTATACTTATATTTATTCAGTAAACATTTATTAAATATGTACTAAGTGTAAGATGCACTTAGCAAGGTACAGGGCATACAGCTTTGTATACTATATGGTATATTCCTAAATCCCTGCAGTTGCCATTTTTAACTGAAGGTCTCTCTCCCTCTCTCTCTCTCTCTCTCTCTCTCTCTCTCATCTCTTTCTCTCAGTATATATATTGAAATAAATAAGTTCCTTTTAAACAATTTTTTGTAAGCTAGGTGAAAACTCTTTGTAAGCTGGATTAAAACTGGAAAGTCACATCTGAGAACCTCTCATTATTTCTGGGTACAACAAATAACAACTCATTAAATGTTTAGTGAGCACATGCTCATATGCAATACGTATGTGTCCATGTATAAGAATACAAAGGTGATATGGTCAAGTCCCTAGCTTCTTAAGATATTTAATTTAGTGGTGGGGCATAAGACCAGTGCAGAAATAACTCATAAAAGGCTGAATTTGCTAAGTGCTGCAAGAGATTCAAAGTGATATGAGGGTGTAGAGGGGCTGGAAATCAAGTGAACAGAATATTGTCTGATGCATTGTGTTATATTGGGCATTTTGTTTAATGTAGGTGTAATTTCTTTCCTGTCTACCAAATGTCTTTAGACCGAGTTGATTAAAGTGTTATTTTTAAATGTATTCCTCAGAATAATGTTTTTTAAGGTATGATTCAAGGATCATCTGCATAAAAATCGGCTGGAATCTTATAAAATGAATATTCCCGGCTTTACTTGCAATGTATCAAATTAGAAACACTTAGGGTGGGGCCCAGGAATTTATTGCCAGTAGCACTTTACAGATAATATTAATGTATATTTACATATGTGCAAGTTATTTTTGAAATCAACTTCTTGAGGGATGATTTACATATAATAAAATACACTCATTTCAACTGTTTGAAGAGTTTAAAAAATATATGTATATATATTTTTTTATTGATTTCAGAAAGGGATAGGGAGAGAGAGAGAAACATCAATAATGAGAGAATTATTAATTGGCTGCCTCCTGCATGCCCCCTTCTGGGGACTGAGCCCCAAACCTGGGCATCTGCCTTGACTGAGAATCAGACTGTGAGCTCCTAGTTCATAGGTTGACTTTCAATCACTGAGCCACGCTGGCCAGGTTGTTTGCAGAGTTTTGATAAATGTCTATACTGGTGTATAACTCTCACCACAACTAAGAACCCCAGAAAGTTCTCTTGTAAAGTCAGTCTCCACCCCCAGTCCCAGGGGACAATTGTTCGGGGTTTTCTGTCAGCATAGATTAGTTTTGTTTGTTCTAGAGTTTTATATAAATGAGATCATACAGAATGTACTCTTGTATTTGGCTTCTTTTGCTCAGTATAATGTTTCTGAGATTTATCCATACTATTGTGTATATCAGTTCTTTCTGTTTAAAAAATACATTTTTATTGATTTTTTTTTTCTAATCGTCACTTGAGGATATTCTTCCATTGATTATTAGAGAGAGTGGAAGGGAGGGGGAGAGACAGAGAGAGAGAAAAACATCGATGTGAGAGAGACACATCAATTGGTTGCCTCCTGCACATCTCCCAACCGGGGATTGAGCCTGCAACTGAGGTACATGCCCTTGACTGGGGATTGAACCGGGACCCTTTAGCCCTTGGGCCAATGCTCTATCCACTGAGCAAAACTAGGGCTTTATTGATGAGAGAGAGAGAGAGAGAGAGAGAGAGAGAGAGAGAGAGAGAGAGAGAGAGAGAAACATCAATCGGCTGCCTCCTGCACACTCCATACCAGGGATTGAGCCCAAAACCTGGGCAAATGCCCTGACTGGGAGTCAAACTAGCAACCTCTCGGTGCACTGAAGATGCTCAACAAACTGAGCCACACCGGCCAGGGCAGTTCTTTTTTTTTTTTTAAATCCTCACCCGATTTTCCATTGATTTTTAGGGAGAGTAGAAGAGAGAGGGAAAGGCAGAGAGAAACATCAATATTAGAGAAACACATCGATTGGTTGCCTCCTGAACCTCTACCAGAGGCCAGGCCGGGGAGGAGCCTGCAGCCAAGGTATGTGCCGTTGACCGGAATTGAACCTGGGACCCTTTGGTCCACAGGCCGACGCTCTATCCACTGAGCCAAACTGGCCAGGGCCAGTTCTTTATTTTTAAATTGCCAAGTAGTATTCTGTTGTATGGCTATATGCAATTTGTTGATGGTTTCTAATTTTTGGCTACTATGACTAGAGCTGTTAGAAACATTCAGGTACAAGGCTTTCTATGGACATAATATGTATTTTGTTTTAGTATCAGTATCCTCTTTATTAATTGCAGTGTGGTATACAGGGCTGAAAAGGTTAGTGTTTCTTTATTTTTATAAAGAAATTTATAAATTTTAAAAATGATGTAAGGTTACATTGATTATTTTTGTTCCCTCATCTATTAAATGGGGGTAATACCTGCCCTGTTTATATTATATGTGAAAACAGTTAGAAACTTACAAACATCCATACAGGTCATTAATTAGCAGGGTGTCAGCCCGAAACATAATACACTTTTTATTATAATATTTGAAGGGTGTTGTTTAATCTATTGACATTAGATTTCAGCCTGAGCCTAATTAAAAGATTCTTCTATTTTTCTTCCTTTTTAGAAACAGATGGAGGAGCTTTTATTATTGTCAAAGGAAAGTAATCAGAGCAACCACACTATTTGGTTTGGACACTATACAACATTTACTATTCTTTCTCCATCACCAGGAGTTCAGTCAATAATGAGGTGAGGCAGGCTTCTAAAATTAAAATTAATTGTTTTTAGTTATTTTATATTGCTCTACCTATCTTGCTTTTCTGAAGAAATATTTGTATGAGTTTGGCACACAAGTTATTTTTATTCATTATTCCATTTATTTTTCATTGGTTAGTTCAGCTATAGCTTATTTGTGTGGGCACCTCCATACACTTGGTGGACTGATGCCTGTTTTGCACACTCGTCACTACCAGGGCACTTTGGAACTTGAGGTGGGAGACTGGAAGAACAACAGAAGGTAAGGGGTAGTTACCCCACAGAATAAAACTTACACATGTTAACACATTATGGACCAGTAGTTTTATTGCTAGCTTTACCCAGTGGCCAGATAAGTTTCTATTGAACTAGTACAAAAAATGTTTTACATAAATGTTAAAGGCATGCTTTAAAATTACATACCCATTGCATTTTGAAGTTATTTATTACATGTTCTTACAAGCTAATATCTTTTTAAAGTATGATATTTTGTAAAACACTGTAATATGAAGCGAGAATTCTCGTGATTCATCCGCAATGTGTTAAGTTTGCTAAAACAATAATAGCTTTCTTAATGCTATCGTGGGTAATCCCAATTAAGGAAAAACTTGTGATACTTCTGTTTTTGAAGTAATTTGTGTACCTGGCAATTTTTGTTGTGCAAAAACTTTTTACAACAGTTATGTTTGCTATCCCTATGTTATGTTGGATTTTCAAGACACATCCATTAGGAAATAGTTCTCAAACTCTAGTATGCATAAGAATTCTGGAGGATCTTATTAAAAACTAGAGGTCCGATGCATGAAATTCATGCACGGGGGTGGGGGGGTCTCAGCCTGGCCTGCATCCTCTCCATTCCAGGACCCCTCGGGGATGTCCGACTGCTGGTCGGATATCCCTCTCGCAATCTGGAACCACTGGCTCCTAACTGCTCACCTGCCTGCCTGCTTGATTGCCCCTAACCAGTCTGCCTGCCTGCCTGATCCCCCCTAACTGCTCCCCTGCCAGCCTGATCGCCCCTAACTGCCTCTGCTTCGGCCTCCGCCACCGTGGCTTTGTCCGGAATGACAACCAGAAGGTGTCCAGTTGACCTGGTTTAATTAGCATATTACTCTTTTATTAGTATAGATTAGTCAGCTCAGACAGCCAAAACAAAATATCATAAATTTGTGTGCCTTAAACAACAGAAATGTATTTTTCTCACAGTTTTGGAGGCTGGAATTTGGGGTCAGGGTACCAGCATAGCATCGTCCCATACACCAGAAAGTGGAGGATCCATTGCCAGTCAGGGCACATGCCCAGGTTGCAGATTCAATACCCAGTCCAGTGAGTGCAGGAATCAATGGAACAATGTTTCTCTCTCCCTTCTCTCTGAGATCAATTAAAATGAATGATAAATAATGTTCTCTAAGTATGGTTTTAACAGGAAAGACATTAGTGATCTATGAAGTGAAAAACTTGTTATAACACATATATACAGTATGACCCCATTTTAAAAAAATTGATTTCAGAGGAAGGGAGAAGGAGGGAGAGATAGAAACATCAATGATGAGAATCATTAATCAGCTGCCTCCTGCACACCCGTACTGAGGACCAAGCCCGAAATTTGACCAGGAATCATATCGTGACCTCCTGGTTCATAGATCAATGCTCAACCACTGAGCCCCACCAGCCGGGCCCCATTTTTATCAATACCAGGCACATGAAGTACATGGGCAAGATCTCACTCCTAGACAAAAGTCTGAAATTTCCCAAAGTCCTCTGCAGCTAGGTTTCTGGATATGAATTTGTTTCTGCCGATTGGATGCGCTTGCACAATATTTTGAAGGCAGAAGTGGGGCAGAGGCATCTTCCCGCAGTTTGGGCTGTTTGCTGCTGGTGACCATGTTTGCAGAGATGTGGAGGTTTTCTGCAGCGGAATCCAGGCTGTGCACAGGCAGTTGTGGCAGAGGCAGTGCCCAGTGACCTGTTTTGTGGGAGCTGGAGGGCACTTGCGGGGGCAGCAGTTTCCCAATCCCCAGGTCACAGCTGTGCCAGAGTGCCCTAGAATTCAGTTGTGGCTGAGGGGGCAGGTCCTCCCTCTGGGCAGGGAGTCTTTCCTGGGGGCCCAGCCTAATACCCACTCCTCCAGCTTCCCGATGATTTCCCAAGCACCAATTCCCTGTGTTAAATTCTCTCCTGCCTAAAATAGCAAAGATCTAAAAACATCTTGGATCCTCTCCTTTCAACAAAAACAATGCTGCACAGGGTCAGGTCTGAGAAGTGGCTGAGGTGTTGCGGAAGGCTCCCTTCTTTGAGTCTCAGCTTCCTCTTCTGTAGAACCGAGACCAAAGATTATCTGTTCATAGTTACTGAAGACCATGGCAGCTGTTTCCCAAAGATGGCCACAACATTTCCCATCCCTTCTGTTGCCTTGCCACTTTCCGCCACGTCCTCTCTCTTGAAGTGGGGCTGACTTCTGAATTCCAAGGCCAAGGCCGAAAAGGCTGGGGCTGCAGCCTGCCCACCTCGCCAGGGTTTCCAGCTCCAGGCCCACCCACGCCGCTTGGGGCTCTGTCTGGTGCGGGGCCTTGCCCTCCTGGCTCACTTCCCCTCCTGTCTGCCGCCCAATGCCTCGCTGCACATCATGGCCCACCTGCTGGTGCTGCTGGGCCCAGCAGGCGGGGTAAGAGCCCACGTTGGGCCTCACACCTCCTGGCTCCTATATGCCGCTGCCCCCTACACCCCCTGACCCCTATTCCTGCTGCTGTTCCGACCGAGCCAGACACCCAGGTGCTGTGCGCGGCCCGCGGGGACTGCTATGGTCACCAGGAAAGCCTCCCCACCCCATCCCTGATTCCAGCGCCCCGATCCCAGGTCCACTTCCACCCAAGGAGAGCTTTACCCGTGCAGCTGCCCGAGCCTGAGACCGAGCAGCTCCAAGGTCCCCGGACCCCAAATTCCTGCCAGCCAAGGCGGTTGGCCAGCTGGCCCCGCCCTGGTCAGGGTGTTGGGGGCGATCCGGCCTAGATCAGGCCGGTTCACTGGCCGCAGTGGGTGTCATAGCGACTGGTCGTTAGGTCGTTATGGTCGTGACGGCACTACAGTCTCTGGCTTTTTATATAGATAGATAAAACTTTCTAGGCTCTACCTCTAGAGATTTTGATTGTGTTGATCTGGGTAAGGACCCAAGAAAATGCATATTTTAAAAACATACTAGTGCCCTAGCTGGTTTGACTCAGTGGATAGAGCGTTGGCTGCGGACTGAAGGGTCCTGGGTTTGATTCTAGTCAAGGGTACATGCCTGGGTTGTGGGCTCGATCCCCAGATGTTTCTATATTTCTCTCCCTCTCCCTTCCTCTCTGAAATCAATAAAAATATATAAAAGTAAATAAATAAATAAAAGCTGTTGAGCAAAAATATGTTACTTAAAAATAAATAAATAAAAGCATACCAGGCACGCTATGGACCAAACTTTGAGAAACACTAGGACCAGCCCTGGTGGGGTAGTTCAGTTGGTTAGAGCATCATCCTGATATGCCAAGGTTGTGGATTTGATCTCCAATGGGTACATATAAGAAGCAAGCAATGAATGCATAAAATCAATAAAATTTTAAAAGAGAGAAAGAAAAACACTATGACTAGAAATAAGTAATTTTCTCTTTTGAATTTTATTTAATTTTTTTAATATATGTATTTTTTATTGATTTCAGAGTAAAGGAAAGGGAGAGGGAGATAGAAACATCAATGATGAGAGAGAATCATTGATTGGCTGCCTCCTGCATGCCCCACACTGAGGATGGAGCCGCAACCCAGGCATGTGCCCTGACCGGGAATCGAACCATGACCTCCTGGTTCATAAATGATAACCACTGAACCACGCTGGCTGGGCTTTAATTTAATTATTAATTTTTATTTTTTAATTGATTTTTAGAGAGAGAGGAAAGGAGAGAGAGAAAGAGAAACATCTATGTGAGAGCAAAACAGATTGGCTGCCTCTTGTAAACCCCCTACCTGGGGTTGAGTCCAAAACTCCAGCATGTGTCCTGACCAGGAATTGAATAGGTAACCTTTCAGTGCATGGGATAATGACCAACCAACTGAGCCACACTGGCCAGGGCTCCCCTGAATTTTATCTACATTTCTAGTTATTGCTATAAGATGTTAGTGATTTAAGTTCTTCAAATAGATGATAATTGGTTTTGTTAAGGTTAATGTCTTCCTAAGAAGAAACATAACTTATCAAAAGCATATAGTATAATTAAACATAGAAAGAGAACTAAATATATTATAACTTTGATAATACCATTTAAGTGCACTAATTTAAGTATCGATGAGTATCACTTCATTGTTTAACTATTATCAATTACTATTTATTATGACTCAGTGCTCTGAAGATATTAGGTACCCAATAAATATTTGCTGAGCTGAGTATGTTTTCTTTCCATTTTTAACTATCTCCATTAATTAAAAAGCAGCTTTACATTGTAGGTGGTACTTACTCATTTTAGTTGGTTTTGTAGAATCTGGGTAAGAGCTACGTTTGAAGCCTGTAATTAGTTGGCTACTGGCTACTGTAATTACTTTGAGCCTTATAAGACCTGTCTTTTCATGACTGAAAGGCTGTGGGCTGGGCTGGAACTGCCTTGTTCCTAATCCTTGATCGGCCTCTTTATTTAAGTGATATTAATTATGAAACTTTTTTTCCTCTTCCCACCTGCTCTCCTGTATTCTAACCCTGGGGTTTTATTTGGAGTTTTACTGAAAGTACCTAACTTACCTGCCCTTACTAAACATTTAAATTGTACTAGTAAAATAGTTTTAAAAAATTGTAGATTAGTAATATTAGGCCAGGCTTTGTTATAGATGCAAATAAACGTGTGGCTTAACACAACAGATGTCTATTTTTTCCTTCATGTAAAGCTGGTATGAGTCAAGCCAACTCTCTTCTAGAGGGTGACAGGGATTCAGACTTCCTCCATCTTAAAAGGCCACTATTTCAACACTTCAATTCCCGTACTTTGGACCAGAAGTGTGGTATGTGTCACTTCAGTTCACAGGCCATTGGTCAGAACTAGTTACATTGTCCCAACCTAATACCAGGGACTCTGGGAAATGCCGGGGAGCACAGGGAGTATTTGGTGAACACTCTTGTTTCTGCCATAGTTAATTATTTCTCAGTTCTAAAAGTTAGAAAATGCAGAACTGGTTATTCCTTTTTGTTGTTAATCCTCACCCGAGGATATTTTTTCATTGATTTTTAGAGACAGTGGAAGGAAGGGAGAGAGACTTAAGAGAGAGAAACATCAATGTGAGAGAGACACATCATTTGCTTGCCCCCTGCACTTACCCCAACCAGGGGCCGGGGGTTGGGCCTGGAGCCAAGGTACATGCCCTTGACCAGAATTGAATTCAGGACCCTTTGGTCCACGGGCCAATGCTCTATGCACTGAAACAAACCAGCTAGGGCAAAACTGGTTATTCTATAACTTTCATTGTGCATTTAGAAAATCAAGACAACTTAACTTTTGTTAATTTCTTTGAAATTATAGAAATAAAGATTTAACAGACAAGTGAAAGGTTTCTAATTGTGTTTATTTTAATATTTTATGTAGCATTGTTGATGGTGTGAGGAATGTCAGATATTAGGCTTAAGATGAATATCTCAGGCTCAAAATGAATTAATTCAACAAGCATGAATTTAAAAATTAAAGAGTGCATGCTATGTACTAGACATTTATCAAGGCACAGTTAAATTCATGGCTTCAGTCAGATCCCAGTTGTTGTGACAAATGTGAAGTATAAAGTGATAGGGGCCAGGGAAAAAGACAGAAAAACAATATTATTGACTCTGCATTCAAATTCATGATCTCAAAAAGTATACTTTTATATTTTTACATTTGTTCTGTATATAACCTTCATGCCTCTTAAAATGTGAAGTGACTAATTGCCTTATTGCTCTCTGGTCTCTAGGTACCGCATCTTTGCTTTTGATCATGACCTCTTTAGCTTTTCAGATTTGATCTTTGGTGAGTGGCCTGTGATACTTATCACCAATCCTAAGTCGCTCCTGTATAGTTCTAAACATGAACCACTAGAAAGACTCCTTCACTCAACACACATCAGGTATGTAGAAAATTTTCAGAATTTACTTTCAGTTTGATATTGATGGAGAATAAATCATTGTGACTGCATTCCCATGTAACAGCTATGAGAGGTCCCACTTTAGTTGTCTCAACAATTAAACATTATGTAAAGACTAGAGGCCCGATGCACGAAGATTCATGCAAGAATAGGCCTTCCTTCCCCTGGCTGCCCGCACCACCTTTGCTCCGGTCGGAGCCGCCTTTCCGCCTCTCACCTTGTCGCATCAATGTGCATATTCCCTCCTATTGGCTGTGGGCGCTGCCACCTTTGTCGTGAAGTTACGGTCAATTTGCATTTTCTGTCTTTATTAGATAGGACTAGAGGCCCAGTACACGGGTGGGGTCACTAGGCCTGGCTGATGATCAGGACCGATTAGGGCCTGCAGGCCGGGGGAAGGGACAGGGGACGGGGGTTGGCCACTGGCCCTGAGGAAGGAGCCAGCTCTCAGCCCCCATGGGAAAGGGGCCACGTCCACTGCCACCCACCCCCGGCTCCCTGTCCCAGCTCGGGCCCTGGGGAGAAGGCAACGGGTCGCTGGGAAGGGTGTGGAAGGAACAGATGCTGGCGCCTTGCCACTGCGTGGTTCCCTACCTCCCCAACTCCTCCTTCCTTCGCCGCCTCACCGCCACCGCTGGAGATGGGTAGTGGGCCAGTTGGAGCCTGCCAGCTGGGGAGAGGGACAGGGTGTGGGAGCTTGGCCACCGGCCCCAAGGAGGGAGCCAGCCCTCGGCCCCTCTGGGAAAGGGGCTGTGTCCACCACCACCCACCCCCGGTTCCCCATCCCAGCCTGGGGCACAAAGGCCCCAGCGAGGTTGGGAGAGGAGGCGGCGGTCACCAGACCAGGCATAAGGAACGGACACTGGACGTCAATGCTGCCCCGGCCACGGGAGGTTGGCTGTGGGAGCGCATTGACCACCAGGGGGCAGTTCCTGTGTTGAGCATCTGCCCCCTGGTGGTCAATGCACGTCATAGCGACTGTTCGACCGGTCATTCCAGTCGTAATGGTTGCTTAGGCTTTTATATATATACTAGAGGCCCGGTGCACAAAAATTTGTGCACTCGGGGGGGAGAGGGGGTCTCTCAGCCCGGCCTGTGCCCTCTCGCAGTCTGGGACCCCTTGGGAGATAACGACCTGCTGGCTTAGGCCTGCTCCCGGGTGGCAGAGGGCAGGCCCAATCCCTAGGTGCAGGCCCTGGTCGGGCTCAGAGCAGGGCCCATTGGGGAATTGGGGCGCCGCCCCCTGTCATGCACAGAGCAGGGCGATTGGGAGGTTGCGATGCCACCCTCAGTCACACTCAGGGTAGGGCCGATTGGGGGGTTGGGGCACCGCCCCGTCACACTGAAGGCAGGGTCGATGGGGAGGTTGCAGCGCCACCCCCTGTCACGCACAGAGCAGGGCCAATCGGGGTTGGGGCGCTGCCCCCGTCATGCACAGAGCAGGACCGATCAGGGGGTTGGGGCGCTGCCCTCTGTCACCCACAGAGAAGGGCCGATCAGGGGGTTGGGGCGCCGCCACTGTCACACTCAGGGCAGGGCCGATGGGGAGGTTATGGCTCTACCCCGTCACACACAGAGCAGGGCCCGTGGGGTGGGGGTGGGGGGGTGGGGGCGCCGCACCCTGTCACACACAGAGCCGCAGGGCGATCAGGAGGTTGGGGAGCTCCCCCCTATCAGGCACAGAGCAGGGCCGATCAGGGGGTTGGGGCGCCTTCCCCTGTCAGGAACAGAGCAGGGCCGATAGGGAGGTTGTGGCCCTGCCGCCTGTCACACACAGAGCCGCAGGGTGATCAGGGGGTTTGGGCGCTGCCCCTGTCATGCTGATCCTGGTGCCGGGAGACCTCGCCGCTCCACTGAGCCCAGTGCTGGGAGGCATATTACCCTTTTACTATATAGAATAGAGGCCTGGTGCATGGATGGGGGCTGGCTGGTTTGCCCTGAAGGGTGTCCCGGATCAGGGTGGGGGTCCCCACTGGGGTGCCTGGCCAGCCTGGATGAGGGGATGATGGCTGTTTGCAGCTGGTCACACCCCCTTCAGGGTGGGGGTCCCCACTGGGGTGCCTGGCCAGTCTGGGTGAGGGGCTGAGGGCTGTTTTCAGGCTGGGACTGAAGCTCCCAACTGCTCCTTTTTTCCTTTTTTTTAATTTTTATTTTGAGCCAGCTTTAGCTCTGAGGCTCCAGCTCTTAGGCCTCCGCTCCTGAAAGCAGGTATCTGGTTTGTTTAGGTTCTACAGTCGAAACTCTGTATCAACTCCAGGTCTGAGATCCTGGCTAGCTGAAAGATGGTTTCTGGGGTTTTGTTTAGCTTCTGTTTTTGTTACTATTTTTCAAACTGCCAGCTCAGAGGCCTGCAGCAGCAGGCGGGGAATGTTGGAGTCCTCCGTCACTGAAGCAAGCAAGCCTCATGTTAGTTTCAAGCTGCTTGGCTGCCGGCCGCCATCTTGGCTGGCAGTTAATTTGCATATCACCCTGATTAGCCAATGGGAAGGGTAGCGGTTGTACACCAATTACCATGTTTCTCTTTTAATAGATAGGACTAGAGGCCTGGTGCACAAAATTTGTGCACTCAGGGGTGGTCCCCCATCCTGGTCTGTGCACTGTCACAGTGCGGGAGCCCCATGATCAGTCACCCCAAAGAGGTAGGCCCCACCCACCCATCTGAGGCTCCTTGATGGATTGCCTCAAAGAGGTAGGCCGGACGGAGCCAGGGGTCCTGCCTCTGTGCCGTGCAGAGCCAGGAGGCAGGACCCCCAGGCAGGCCTCGCCGTGTGGAGCTTGGATTAGGCAGGACCCCCACGCAGGCCTCGCCGCATAGAGCCGGGGGACCCCCAGGCAGGCCTCGCTGCGCGGACCCAGGAGGAGGCAGGACCCCCAAGCAGTCCTTGCTGCGCAGAGCTGGGAGGAGGTGAGACTCCCAGGCAGGCTTTGTGCTGTGCACGCAGCGTCAAGCCCAGCCCCGCCTGCCTGTGCATGCCCACTGTGCATGCAGCCATCTTGTGATGGCATGAGGGCATTGTGGCGTGACGACTACTTAGGCTTTTGTTAGTAAGGATACTAGAGGCCCGGTGCATGAAAATTCATGCTCTGGAGGGGAGGGGTCCCTCAGTCCAGCCTGCCCTGTCTCACAGTCTGGGAGACCTCAGGGGATGTCCTACTGACAGGTTAGGCCCCCCTCCCCGTGGAGCGGGCCTAAGCCACAGTCTGGTCTTCCTCTGCAGGAGGTGACCGGGCTGATCAGGGGAAGGCGCCGCCCCCATCACCCTGCTGCTGCTGCCACTGCTAGCTATGGCGGCTCTGAGGCCTGAGGCCCGAGCCTCGCAGCCGCCAGGTCTCATGGCTGCCTGAGCCCACGGCCACAGCTGCCATGAGCCCCTGGCCTTGCAGCCGCTGTGGCTTTGTCCGGATGAACATCTGGATGGACATCCGGAAGACATCCGCCCTAATTAGCATATTACCCTTTTATTAGTATAGATAGACAAATTGGTTACTGTTTCATTACAATTCAGTTAAAAATATATTTTAGCCCTGGCCAGTGTGGCTCAGTTGGTTGGAGTGTCGTCCCCTATACCAAAAGGTTGCAAGTTCTATTTTTAGTCAGGGCACATACCCAGGTTGCAAGTTAGATCCTCGTCTGGGTGTGTTTGGGAGGCAACTTATCGATGTTTTTTTTCTCTCTCTCCCTCCCTTCCTCTTTCTAAAAATCCCTCTCTCTCTCTCTCTCTCTCTCTATCTATCTACCTATCTATCTATCTATCTAAAAAGCAGTAATATGCAAATGAGGTCAAGACTCCCTAACAGTCATGACCAGCTCAGGAGGAGGGGCCGGGTGTGGCCCTGAGCCTGAGAGAACAACACGCAGGTGCAGCTTGGAGCCTGAGAGATCAACACAGAGGGGCGCCTGCTCCGAGCCTCAAGCCTCAGACACGGCTGGGGCAGGCCCCTAGCAGACACACACACACACACACACACACACACACACACACACACACGGCACCTGCTCTGAGCCTACGCGGCTGAGGTCACCTGTCAGGGCTGTGAGGAGAGAGGAAAGCCTATCCTGCCACGTGTACCAGTGCCCAGGAGGTGCTTGGGCCCCTTGGTCTGAGGGGTCTTCTCCAGGGCAGTCTCCTGGTTGCTTCTCCGGTCCCGGTCAAGGGAAGGAGCCAAGGGTGGGGGAAACGAGGCCAGGCCAATCAGATTTTCCAATTGTTCCCGGCTGTGCGTTTGCTCCAGGGGTGGAGGGAGGAAGTTCTCCACACAAAGGCAGGAAGGCAGAGGTGCTCTGTGGCAAAGGCAAAGGCACAGTGGCCCTGGGACAGCCCGAGGGTCTGCAGCACAGAGTGCTGGGCAGGGCAGCCACCGCAGGGGGCCATCCCCGGCACCTCTCACCCCTCCAAGGACATCAGCTCGGGATGTCACAGTCAGAGGAACAGACCCAGACAGAGTTGAGACCTGCCCCGGTCACATAAAGCTTCCAATTCAGCACCCTCTCCACGCTTCTTCAAGTTCCCAACCATTGACTGAACACTTTCTATCAAGTTCCTAGAAGGTGGTAATCCCTCACTAACTGTGGTTTTAAGAGGGTTCCCTTTACACAGCTTTTACACAGTATGCCTCTACACAGCTTTCTTGAAGAGGCACTTACATGCCATACTACTCACCCACAGCAGGCATACTGTTTGATGCATGAATTTCCTCAGCAGCTCAACCACCGACACAAACCGTTTTCAAGCTTCCATCACACTGTTTGCCCATCTGCAGTCAACTCCCCCCCAGCCCCAGGCAACCACAGGTCTGCTTTCTGTCCCTGTAATTTTGTCTTTTCTAGAAATCTCCACATTCTTTAAAAAAAAAAAAAAAAAGCGATAAAAAAAACAAAAACAAGAACGCTGCTGTCTTCAGGCCTACAAAGGGGAAGATGACTGAGGGCAAAAAAGATGTCTCCGTGAAGGGCCTAGAGCAGTGGTTCTCAACCTTCTGGCCCTTTAAATACAGTTCCTCATGTTGTGACCCAACCATAAAATTATTTTCGTTGCTACTTCATAACTGTAATGTTGCTACTGTTATGAATCGTAATGTAAATATCTGATATGCAGGATGGTCTTAGGTGACCCCTGTGAAAGGGTCGTTCGACTGCCAAAGGGGTCGCGACCCATAGGTTGAGAACCGCTGGCCGAGTGTGTGGGGCCTGGCCCCTCCTGCTTTAACTCCCAGATGAACAAACTCAGGGTCAGAGAGGTCTGGGGTGTGGTTCAGTCTTTTCAACCCATGCCTGCATCCCAGATGCTAATGACAGTGGCAGCAGCGGTGGTACTACTCAGAGCCCGGCCTGGCCACACCAGCCCCCCCACCCCAGTGGGCACACACATACACACACACGGGGGCGCCTGCTCTGAGCCTCTGACACGGTGGGGACAGGCCCCCAGCGGACACATACACACACACACACACACACACACACACATACACACATACAGGGCACCTGCTCTGAGCCTCCGTGGCCAGACTGCAGCTTAGGACATCCTGTCAGTAGGACATCCCCTGAGGGCTCCTGGACTGTGCGAGGGGGCAGGCTGGGCTGAGGGGACCCCCCCCCCCGTGCACAAATTTCGTGCACCAGGCCTCTAGTGTGTATGTATGTGTGTGTGTGTATATATATATGTGTATATGTATATGTATATGTATATGTATATGTATATGTATATACTGAGTGGCCAGATTATTACGACCACCCCATCAGTACAATGAAGTGAATTAGTTATGCAAATAATAATAATAAGACCTTGAGAGTATTTGCTTAGGAAGTTTTCAATATTCAGTATTTTTGGAAGTGTCAATGAAGTACTGATGGGGTGGTCATAATAATCTAGCCACTCGGTATGTATGTATGTATATACACACACACACACACACACACACACACATATATGTATATATATTATATATTTACTAGTATGCTGCTGAAAGTTTAAAAAGTATCCAGAAACCCATAATCCTACCATTATTACTTTTTTTATTTTATCTTCCTGTTATTATGTTGTTATAATTATAATATACATATTCTAGGGTTATTCTAAGATATTCGTTTGTATACTACTTAAAACAGTTATATTTTATATCAAAAAATTTTTTCATTTTGCTACATAGCCTTCCAAAAAAGAAAAAGCTATATAAACCTTATGGAATTAAATATTCCATTGCCATGTGAATGTGACTGTAAATTAAAGAGACTTATGAAACCTTTCTCAAACATAAAGGCACTCTTTTAAATATATGTACTTTATTTTTAAGCATATTTTTATTGATTTCAGAGAGGAAAGGAGGGGGAGAGAGATAGAGACATCGATGATGAGAGAGCATCATTGATTGGCTGCCTCCTGCATGCCCCCTGCTGGGGATTGAGCCCACATCCTGGGCATGTGCCCTTGACTGGAATCAATCCCTGGACCCCTCAGTCTGCAGGCTGTTGTTCTATCCACTGAGCCAAACCAGCTAAAGTAGTATATGTACTTTATGCTCTTTTAAATTTTATTTTGAAAAGTAATACAAGAGCCACCTTTGGAAAATAGGGTGTGGGATTATATGTGTATCCCCACCCCTCACCAATAGAACTATTATTAATGATTTTGAGTTTCCCTTAGTAGGCATTCTCTTTTAGGCATCTTTTTACATAGTTGTAATAATAGGGCACAATCTATTCTTATTTTAAAAATATATTGGGCTGACATCCAATCTAATAATAGACAAACATGGTAATTAACCGTACCTCTGACACGCTTCCCATTGGCTAATCAGGGCGATATACAAATTAACTGCCAACCAAGATGACAGTCGGCAGCCAGGCAGCTGAAGCAAACAGGAGGCTTGCTTGCTCCAGTGATGGAGGAAGCCAAGGTTCCCCGCCTGCCGCTGCCAGCCTCTGAGCTGCAGTCTAAGAAACAATGTTGCAATTATAGAAGCTAAACAATCCCTAGAAACCTGCTTTCAGCTAGCTGGGCCTCAGAGCTGGAGCTGCAACAGAGTTTCAATTATAGAAGCCAAACAAACCCAGATACCTGCTTTCAGCAGCCGAGGTCTCAGAGCTGGAGCCGAGCCTCAGAGCTGAAGCTGGCTCTCAGTTCCAATGACAGCCATAGAAGGTAAATAAATCCCAGAATAAAAAAATTAAAAAAAAGGAGAGGTTGGGAGCTTCAGTCACCCACCAGCCTGAAAATGGCCCTCAGCCCCTCACCCAGACTGGCCAGGCACCCCAGTGGGGACCCCCACCCTGAAGGGGGTGTGACCAGCTGCAAACAGCCATCATCCCCTCATCCAGGCTGGCCAGGCACCCAAGCGGGACCCCCACCCTGATCCAGGACACCCTTCAGGGCAAACCAGCCGGCCCCCACCCGTGCACCAGGCCTCTATCCTATATAGCAGGGGTCCTCAAACTTTTTAAACAGGGGGCCTGGTTCTTTGTCCCTCAGACTGTTGGAGGGCCGGACTATAGTTTTTAAAAAAAACTATGAACAGATTCCTATGCACACTGCATATATCTTATTTTGAAGTAAAAAAACAAAATGGGAACAAATACAATATTTGTATTTGCATGTGGCCCGCGGGCCGTAGTTTGAGGACCCCTGCTATATAGTAAAAGGGTAATATGCAAACTGACCCTAACAGCAGAATGACTGGGAATGACTGGTCACTATGACACACACTGACCACCAGGGGGCAGACGCTCAATGCAGGAGCTGCCCCCTGGTGGTCAGGGCGCTCTCACATGGGAGGAGCTCTGCTCAGCCACAAGCCAGGCTGATGGCTGCCAGTACAGCGGTGGTGGTGGGAGCCTCTCCCGCCTCCTCAGCAGCGCTAAGGATGTCCGACTGCAGTTTTGGCCTGCTCCCCGCTGGCAAGTGGACATCCCCCGAGGGCTGCCAGGCTGCCAGAGGGATGTCTGATTGCCATCTTAGGCCCAATCCCCCGGGAAGCGGGCCTAAGCCAGCAGGTGGTCATCCCCTGAGGGGTCCCAGACTGCGAAAGGGCACAGGCTGGGCTGAGGGACTCTCCCCCCGCCCTCCGAGTGCACAAATTTTTGTGCACTGGGCCTCTAGTCTACATATACAAATCCTAAGTGACCTTTACAATTGGTCGCTATGATGCGCACTGACCACCAGGGGACAGATGCTTAATGCAGAAGCTGCCCCCTGGTGGTTAGTGCTCTCCCACAGCCAACCTCCCGTGGCTGTTCAACCTCCCATGGTTCCTGCTCCTGGTTGGCTGGCCCCGATCAGCCCCAATGGGGACTAGGTGAAATGGCCCCCATGGCCCTGATCGCTGGCCAGGCCAAGGGATCCCACCCATGTTTTCCATAGTGGCTTTACCACTTCACATTCCCACCACCAGTGAATAAGGTACCCAATTACTTTTTAAAATGGGTACTAATTTATATGTTATTAGATATTGTACTTTTAAGAAGATTAACTACTTAATCTGGAAAAAATGGTATCAAGCTGTTTTAAGATTTTTTTTATTACTAGTTAAGTAAAACATACATTTCTCAGGTTTTTGTTTTTTTTAATAGGAGCTGGATATCAAATTTGGGCATTATATTCTCTGGGGCCTGGTAACCTTAGCCTTATTTGTAACATTGCTTCTTTAGGGTAGATAGAAGAACCAAATGAGTGGATGGGAACCAAATAGGAGATGGTAGGCTTGACATTAGATGAACAAATGTCTAATTTACATTCTCTTTCTATGAGAAAAACCAGGACTTTAGGAGTTTCTTCAGAAAGAACTTTGGGTCTACTCCAAAGTATACTCCAGAAACTACTCCAGAATAGTTTCAAATTTCTCACCAGTTCAGGTTTGCTGAATTATGCAAATCCAAAAGCCACCATTCAGAAAGAAACCAAATTATATGAATAGTGGTCCCTACAGTAGTACCATGTCATGATTCTGCCTATACTTTTATCTTTTCAGGTTATAATAGGTTATTCTCCTTTATAAAAACAATGACAAATACCTAAAACCTGTGCTATATATGCTTTCATTTCAGAGTCTTGGCCTTTTCCTCATCCTCCATTACTTCTGTCACAGTTAAGATCGATGGAGTTCATTTAGGGGAAGCTACTCATTTGTCTGGTCCTATTTTCACACTGAAGTGGAACCCAAGAAACTACATTAATAGTACACATAATATAGAAGTAATTGTCCAGGTAAGTTAGTAATTTTCAATTCGCTGTATAAATGTGATTAGACTGTAACCACACTGAACTCCGATTTGGCGGGGAAGGGGGGTTTTGCAGTCAGTTGATAAAGGTGAAACTAAGTTTAATAAAAATTTGGATGCATTGGATTTGTCATGTTCTGAAAATGTGCACTCAGGAGTAATTCTACTTTTAGACTAAAAACTGAGTAGAGGAAAAGTGGAGTGTGCCACTACTGGCCACAGTCCCCCCTTTTTCTAACGTCAGGGAATCATTCTTTTGTTTTCTTTCAACTGTGGCCCCAGTGTCTTTTAATAATGGGAGCAAAATTCACCAATATACCAAAAGATAATAGAATAAGTCAGAAAACATGTATTTATGTATCCATGCCTTTGATTGCTTTCTCCAAATACAGGAAGATTGTGTCATTATTTTGAAAGCTCTAGGACAGCAAATTTTCAAGGCAATAAAGGATTTTTTTTTATATTTGGGGTATGCATTCATAGCATGTGCATTCACTGTCTGCCTGGCATTGCTCTGATTTAACCTGGCAAGCATTTAATTCACTAGCACCTGCCAGAGTAGACAGTGATCATTGTTACCAAAATAGGGCTGTTTCATCAACCTTATGAAACTCTTTAAGGGATAGATTGTGCTCAGAAATTATTTTCTAAAAAAAATCCATCAATATCTATAACTTTATGGTTTGATGACAGTTTTTAACTGTTAAATCTTTTAATATTAACTTCGTTTGAAACATGAAGTAATCCTTCAGAAAACACATGAAATTATTTTCATTACTTTTTTTTTTTTTTTTTTTTTTGGTCACAGAGAAGGATTTTTGAGCAGGAAGGAGCTGTTTACTGAGCCCTGATGTCAGGCACTTGAATTTTGTACTTTATCCATATCATAATCCTGTATGCTGGGTAGCTTTATCCCCGATTCATAGATAAGGAACAAGAGAAGGCACTTTACAATGTCACTGTCTTTGAAGTGTTCTGCTTAGGAGGAAAAAGGAACACAGGGAGGATGTGGAAGGCGGGATGGCTGGGGGTGAACTCTTAATGTCTTTCATATTAGGAGTTGGTCATTTAAAAAAGGCTTGAAGGTATGAGTGCAACTAGAATATTCCCTGTGTCATGGGAAGAAGTAGGAGCAACCATAGGCGATCTGCTCACTGTAGGAATGGGGAACTCTCAAATCCTTGGATTGCTCCAGAATCTCAGCTTCTGTAGTTTTATGAGAAAGAAACTTTATTCATATTTCTTGAAATATTTCTGGTTATCTATCTGAATCCTTAGTAAAAATGTGAAATCACTATACTTTTTATATCTTTAACATTTCTTGCAACATTATTGAGGTATAATTTACATATAAAACATATAAATACAATTTGGTAAGTTTTGACATACATACACATCCTTGAAACCATTACTACAATCAATATGATCCATCACCCTCAAAAGTGTTCTTGTGCCCTTTTGTAACTACCTTCTTTCCGCGCTCATTTCCAGGCAACCAGTGGTCTGTTTTCTGTCTACGTGTGTGTGATAACTTAAAAACATTCGTCTACTGAATATGAAATAGGGAACCTGGTCCCCTCATTCATCAGTGGGAACATTATGTCTTTTCAAATACGTTATGCTATATAGATAAGTCTGAAAGAAAAATCTGTGAGAATCTGGCCGGTGTGGCTCAGTTGAATGTCATCCTGTGCATTGAAGCTTTGTCAGTTTGATTCCTGGTCAGGGCATGTGCTCAGGTTGTGGGTTTGGTCCCCAGTTGGGGTGCATAAGGAAGGCAAACTGATTGATATTTCTCTCTCACAGCGATGCTTCCCTCTCTTCTTTCTCTCCTCTCCCTTCCTCTTTAAAATTAATTTAAAAATTTTTTTAAACATCCGTAAGAGATCACATCAATTTATTATATTGTATTTTACCTACTTACTACAGTGGGGCCTTGACTTACGAGTTTAATTCATTCCGAGACCAAGCTCGTTAAGGAGCTCGTTAACTCAAATTACTCTGTCAACTCAAAGCAAAAAATCGGCCGAGAGACAGCTGGTATCTCAAAAAACTCGTTAGTCAGGACACTCGTAAGTCAAGGCCCCACTGTATATTCATTGAATATAGGTTCCAGGCAGCCTACCAGCAAACATTCTCAGATCAATTCTCAGTGTGGTTCCTGAATTAGTAGCATCAACACCACCTGGGAAATTGTTAGAAATGCTAACTCTCAGTTTCCTTCTCAAACCTATGAACCAGAAACTGGAGATGGGAGCCGGCAATCTTTTAACAGTCAATCCCTCCAGGTGATTCCGATGTGATGTGCATTAAAGGTTGAGGACAGTATTTTAGACTGTTGTATCTACTTTGCCAATTTAAAGACTAGAAATTTCTATATCTCAATTAAAGAAAATCTCTGCTTTAAAACAAGAACTTATCACTGAAAGTAAGAATATTTGGAGTATAGTTAGATAAATGCCAGCAAAGCTTCTTTACACTATTTAAAAACTTTTGTATGAGCATTATGCTAAGCGAAATAAGCCAGTCAGAGAAGGATAAATATTACATGATCTCACTCATTTGTGGAATATAATGAACAACATAAACAAATGAACAAAAACAGATCCAGAGACAGAGAAGCATCGATCAGACCATCAAACCTCAGAGGGAAGGTAGGGGAGGGTGTGGGTAAGGGGGAGAGATCAACCAAAGGACTTGTATGCATGCATATAAGCATAACCAATGGACACAGGCAACAGGGGGGTGAGGGCATGAGTGGGGGGTAGGGGGGCAATGAGGGGATAAGGACACATATGTAATACCTTAATAAAAGGAAAAAAAATAAAAACTTTTGTATGATGGCTAATTTAAAAAATATATGGAAGTGTTAATACTATAATGAATTCCCATGTATCCATCAGCCAATTGAATAGTTATCAACTCATGACCAGTCTTTTTTCATCTATACCCCATCCACGTCTCTCCTTCCTGCACCATGATGTCATTTTATATGTAAATATGTCAGTATGATTTACTAAAAGATAAGGACTATATTTTAATGTAATCATTAAAAAAAGTAACCATAATACCATATTATACCTGAAAAATTAACAGTAATTCCTTAATATCAAACCATCTAGCTAGTGTTCAGTTTTCCCAATTTGTCATATATGTTTCTCTCTATACATTGCATTTAGTTGATTCAAATCAGAATCCAAACAAGGCTCAAATATTGCATTTAGCTGATTTATCTCTTTTGTCTCTCACCCCTCCTGTTTTTTCCTTTATAGAATATATATATTCTATATATATTTTCTTTGGAAACTGGGTCTTTTATCCTGTAGAATTTCCTGTGTTCTAGATTTTTTGCTTTTTGATTTGAGTCTGTTTTTTTTTTAGCAAGAATACTTCATTTGGTGTTTTATTCTTTCACCAGAAGACTATAATATCTGGTCATCTCTTTGTTAGTAAGGTTAAGATTGATCAGTGTATTCAGGTATTGTTAACCTTATCTAATGATGTGCTGATAAATATTTAACAACCAACTTGGAGGATGTTTGGAGTGGGAGCTGCTTCATAGCATTTCTCTGATTTATACTAGTTTCCATTATATAAATATTCCTACCAACACAACATCAATTGGCTTGCAAAATTCCTGAAAATTTAACAACTGGTTCTGTGAGTCAGTCAAGCCAGCTCCAGCAAACTGCTGGCTTATCCCTCCATTCATTGGGAAGTATCCAATCATCTTTTCATTGAAGGATTTCCAGCAGCTATTGATTATCTTTGCCTAGATCCATTATTTCATTAGATTTATAAAATGATGATATTCAAATTGCTACTCCTTATTATAGGAGTATTAATTAGAATAGGTCTATAAAGAAAACATTTCTCTATTCTTTTTGGTACCCAGATATAGAGTTCATACAAGAAAGACAGGATAAATGCTTTCTTTTTTTTTTTTTAATTCTTTATTGTTCAAAGTATTACATATGTCTCCTTTTTCCCCCATTGACCTCTCCCCGGCCACCCATACCTGCATCAAATGCCCTCACCCCCCTATTGTCTGTGTCCATTGTTCATGCTCATATGCAAGGATACAAGGCCTTTGGTTGATCTCTTACCCCACCCCCCCAACATCCTTTGCCTTCCCTCTGAGGTTTGACGGTCTGTTTGATGTTTTTCTGTCTCTGAATCTATTTTTGTGCATCAGTTTATGTTGTTCATTATATTCCACAAATGAGGGAGATCTTGTGATATTTATCTTTCTCCAACTGGCTTATTTTGCTTAGTGTAGTGTTCTTCAGTCCATCCATGCTGTTGCAAATGGTAAGAGTTCTTTCTTTTTTTACAGCAGCTTAGTATTCCATTGTATAGATGTGCCACAGTTTTTTAGTTCACTCATCTGCTGATGGGCACTTAGGCTGTTTCCAAATCTTAGCTATTGTAATATAGGGGTGCATATATTTTTTCTGATTAGTGTTTCTTATTTCTTGGGATATATTCCTAAAAGTGGGATTACTGGGTCAAATGGGAGTTACATTTTTAATTTTTTGAGGAAACTCCATACTGTTTTCCACAGAGGCTGCACCAGTCAGCATTCCCACTAGCAGTGTACTTTTCTCCACATCCTCACCAGCATTTGTCATTTGTTGATTTGTTGATGATAGCTATTCTGACAGGTGTGAGATGGTACCTAATTGTTGTTTTGATTTGCATCTCTCGGATGATTAGTGGCTTTGAACATATTTTCATATGTCTCTTGGCCTTCTGTATGTCCACTTTCTTTTATTTTTATTTTTTATTAATTAAATCTTTATTGTTCAGATTATATTTGTTCCTCTTTTCCCCCCCCAATAACTCCCCTCCACCCAGTTCCCACCCCACCCTCCTCCCTCACTCCCCATCCACTGTCCTCATCCATAGGTGCATGATTTTTGTCCAGTCTCTTCCCGCATCCCCCACACCCCTTTCCCCCCCAAGAATAGTCAGTCCATTCCCTCTCTATGTCCCTGATTCTATTATAATCACCAGTTCATTCTGTTCATCAGATTATTTATTCACTTGATTCTTAGATTCACTTGTTGATAGATGCATATTTGTTGTTCATAATTTGTATCTTTACCTTTTTCTTCTTCTTCCTCTTCTTAAAGGATACTTTTCAGCATTTCATATAATACTGGTTTGGCGGTGATGAACTCCTTTAGCTTTTTCTTATCTGTGAAGCTCTTTATCTGACCTTCAATTCTGAATGATAGCTTTGTTGGATAAAGTAATCTTGGTTGTAGGTTCTTGGCATTCATCACATTGAATATTTCTTGCCACTCCCTTCTGGCCTGCAAAGTTTCTGTTGAGAAATCAGCTGACAGTCGTATGGGTATTCCCTTGTAGGTAACTGAGTTTCTTCCTCTTGCTGCTTTTAAGATTCTCTCTTTGTCTTTTGCTCTTGGCATTTTAATTATGATGTGTCTTGGTGTGATCCTCTTTGGATTCCTTTTGTTTGGGGTTCTCTGCGCTTCATGGACTTGTAAGTCTATTTTTTTCACCAGGTAGGGGAAGTTTTCTGTCATTATTTCTTCAAATAGGTTTTCAATATCTTGCTCTCTCTCATCTTCTGGCACCCCTATAATTCAGATGTTGGTACGCTTGAAGCTGTCCCAGAGGCTCCTTACACTATCTTCATATTTTTGGATTCTTTTTTCATTTTGCTTTTCTGGTTGGGTGTTTTTTGCTTCTTCGTATTTCAAATCGTTGACTTGATTCTTGCAATCCTCTAGTCTGCTGTTGGGAGTCTGTATAATCTTTATTTCAGTCAGTGTATGCTTAATTTCTAGGTGGTTCTTTATCACAACCTCAAGGGTCTCATTAGATCTTGTAGATCTCATTAAGTTTATCGGCAGTTTCTAGAAAATTCTTGAAAAACCTTAAAAGTGTGGTTTTGAACTCTATATCCAGTAGTTTGCTTTCCTCCATTTCTGTCATTTGTGTCCTTTTTCTTTGTCTCCGCATTTTTTATGCTTCCCTGTGTTGATAAAGTGGTTTTCTGTGCTGAGTGTCCTCTAGGGCCCAGTGGTTCAGCCTCCCCAGTTACCTGAGGAGGGCACTCTTGGTGCACTCCCTTGTGGGCTTTGTGCACAGTCTTGTTGTAGTTAAGCCTTGATTGTTGTAGTTATCACTAGGAGGAATTGAGCTCCAGGCCAATTGGCTGTGAGAATCAGCTGTGTCTGCAGTGGGAGAACTTCTGTGCTAGAGACACCCCTCTGGGGCAAGACTTGCTTCAAAGGGGCTTTGGTGCTCACTGAGTCTGCCCCCTGAGTGTGTCCTTTATGGTTCCACGGGGCTGCAAACTGGATGGTCCCACTCTGACCTCTGGGTTTCCTGGCTCCTGGATCTCTAGGGAGGTGCTAATCTAGCCTTTGCCTGAGGCTACCCAGCAAAAGCCTCAGGGCTTGGGCAGGGCGGGTCCCACAAGATCAACAGGGCGGGGCTAGCAGTTACGGCTGCTCTCAGTCCAGCCCTCAGAGGCTCTGCTTCTCAATGTCCCGGTAATCGCTGCAAGCCCCTTGGAGAGAAAGCTGCCCTCGAGTTCCGACCGATGCCAGACAGTCCCGCTTCTCCCGTATGAGTCTGGGTCCCTAGAGACTCACCTGGAACTGGAGCTCAGAGCCTGAGGCTCCCTCCCGATTGAAAAAGACAACTGTGCCCTCAGCCGCCAGCCCACTCCGCATGCGCCTCCGCACCTTAGTATTTTACTTTCGTACTGCGCCTCCTCTGAGTCTCGGTATGCTTTTCTCTTTCCTTCTAGTTGTAGAATTTCCACTCGGCCACCCTTCCTGTGGTTCTGGATGATGTGCGTTCCATCTTTTAGTTGTATTTTTGAAGTGGTTGTTCGAGGCATCAAACTCCGGTGTTTACCTATGCCGCCATCTTGGTTTCTCCTGTATGTCCACTTTCGAAAAGTGTCTATTTAGGTCCTTTGCCCGTTTCTGATTGGATTGCTTATCTTCCTTTTGTTAAGTTGTATGAGTTCCCTATAAATGTAGATTAAACCTTTATTGGATGTAACATTGGCAAATATGTTCTCCCATGCAATGGTCTTTCTTGTTGTTTTGTTGATGGCTTCTTTTGCTGTCAGAAGCTTTTTATTTTGATGTAGTCCAATTTGTTTATTTTCTCTTTTGTTTCCATTGTCCTAGGAGATATATCTGCAGGATAAATTCTTAGTTCTTCCCCCATCTCCCTTTTCTAAACCAGTGTTCAGAATAATGAGTGGTTCTTTAGTATCTGCCAAAGATAATGATATGAGTCTTCTAGTTTTAGAATCATTATGAATGCAACATTTTAAAATTCATATGTAGCATGTTTTAATCCATTGATTTATTCTTTTTTATGCTCAAATTGTTTCATCTTTGGCTAGTGGGAACATCTCCAAATTGGTCACTAAGTCCTTTGATACAATCCTAATAGTCTTTGTTAATTTTTTTTTTTTTTTTTTGCTTTCCCATATGACAAGATAGTCCAAGCCCTTCTTATGCATTTCTTACTCAAGAACTGGAATCAGCCATTTTTCTAAAGAGCACTGGTTCTTCATAGTGAAAAACAATACTTTGAGACCACAATTGGCACTAGCCCAGCTAGTTCACAGCTATTGGGTTTGTTGTTATTTCTAGGCCTTTTCAGTGAACATAGGGAAATAAAGATTTTTTTTAAAAAAAGCAAATATGTTGTGAGAACATGGTGACATTTCCAATTTAAATCTAGAATTACAAGGTTCTAAAGATATTTCCAATTTAAATCTAGAATTACAAGGTTTTATATAAAAGTGCTTGTAGGAAGAATAAAAAATAAATGAAAAAAAAAGTAGCATGATAGTTTCTTCTCTGCTCTGCTTCTAACTAGGACTCTGCTGGGAGAAGTAAGAGTGTTCACCACATATTTTCTCTTGAAGAGGATAATCAGCTCAGATTTGACCCTCTAGCATCTTTTATTCTTCTTACAGATTACTGCATGGTGGTGAGTAAATTCAACCTAATGTTGTGTGTGCTTCTACTGGATTTGGTAGGTCCAAAATCATAAATAATTATGTGATGAGAAAGCTGAACCTTATAAAAAAGAAACATTTAGTTATTCATCTAGAAGAATAAAATGTTTTTAAGTTGAAAGGCATAGACAAGTAATACCTGTTTTGGGATCTGTCTCTAACCAATGCCATTAAACCAGGATAACTAAAGGAATTATAGGGACTGTGTGTCCTATACAACAAACAATATGTGCTAAATGTAGAAGACGTGGAAATTTTAGAAATAAAGTGAAACCATTCCAACATCATTCTTTGATCACACTACCCATTATAACCATTGTATTTGTCATTATGATATTCTGTTTTCTCTCATATACATTTGCATATGCGTTTTTAGTATAAAATAGTAAGTAAACTTTTAGTTCTCTTTTGCTCTCTGATTTTTCCCATGGAGGAATTTGTTTTACTAGTATCTTATATCAATTTATATTATTTAATAACATGATGTTATTGACTGCATTATATTGTCATAGATACACCTTAAGCATTTTTTTTTAAATGTTTGAGACCAAGCATCCCTGTCTTACTACGGAAATGAGTCAGACAGAGATTGTAGGAAACACTCTCAGCAGGGGTAAGCATTTCCCTGTTGCTGGGTGTTTGTTTCCAGTTTTTTCCTCTACTATATAAATACTGCTTGTATCTAAGTTTTTGCATATAGTAGTTTTGGGGGATAAATTCCTAGAAGTGAATTGCTAGATGAAAGAGTTGACACATTATTCTATATACTTTACTTACTTATTATATAATTACATAAATTACTTATTATTTATTATATTCATTGTTTTTTTGTTTTTGTTTTTTGTCTATCCTCCTTTAGTAAAACATAAGCCCTATGAAGGCAGGGATCTTTATCTGGTATGCCTAACCTAGTAGGCCCTCAATAAAGATTTCTTGAGCAAATAAATGGGTATATATATTTTTTTAGTTTTTAATATACACTGTCAAATAGTGTTCCAGAGAAGCTGTGGCAAATTATACTCTATTTCCCTCAGATCTCACCTATCCTGGGTATTAACATGAAATCTTCAAAAGGTATACACTACAATGTTAAGAAGGAAATTTAAACCTCCTTTAATTTCACCTCCTCACACTTAAACTGTGAATTGATTATTATTTTAATTGGCTTTTATTACTTGTGTGATTGTGTTGTGTAAAACTATGACTAATGGGTATTTGTATCTAAGTTTTACAAAATTTTTGTGTCATTTTTCTTTTGGGGATTTTTAATAACTACTTAGATCAGGCTTTGAAAATGTTGATGTTCTATGAATTATCTGGGAATATTAGTAAAAGGCATATTCTAATCAGTAGGGCTGAGGTGGGACCTGAGGTTCTGCATTCCTAACAAGCTCAAGATGATTCCAAAGATGACCTTTGAGAAACAAGGATCTAAATTACATTTCTTTACTGTTAGTTAATCACCAAGTGAATGACTTCTTGATGGAGAAAGCAAAAAGAAAGTGCAGTCTCTGTTCACTCAGCTGCAGTGTACTGTGCACTGGTTTTTTTATTCTTATACAAATTTAATCAATTTTTAAAAATTGATTTCAAAGAGCAAGGGAGAGGGAGAGAGAGAGATAGAAACATCAATGATAAGAGAAAACCCTTGATTGGCTGCCTCTTGTATGACCCCTACTGGGGATCGAGCCCGCAACCTGGGCATATGCCCTTGACCAGAATCAAACCAGGGACCCTTCAGTCCACAGGCCGACGCTCTATCCACTGAGCCAAACTGGCTAGGGCTATTCTTATACAATTTTATTTATTTATTTATTAAAATATATTTTATTGATTTTTTACAGAGAGGAAGGGAGAGGGATAGAGAGTTAGAAACATCGATGAGAGAGAAACATCAATCAGCTGCCTCCTGCACACTCCCTACTGGGTATGTGCCCGCAACCAAGGTACATGCCCTTGACCGGAATCGAACCTGGGACCCTTGAGTCCGCAGGCCGACGCTCTATCCACTGAGCCAAACCAGTTAGGGCTCTTACACAATTTTAAATAAAACAAAACAAAGTATGCTTCTCCTATAACAATGAAAATGGACTATTTTAATGTGATCATTTTTTATATCTGTATAAAATTACATGGTTTCAACATGGTATAAGTATCCAAATTCTAAAAGAGTAATGCTGAGGCAACTTATAATTTTCTTATTTTGATAGATCAGATGTTTGATTTTCTTTGGCTACATATTTTTCTTATATAGTCATTTCTGCTAATGATGTCATTTTCATTTTTGTTAATGAGGCCATTTTAAAAATCTTAACGAGAGCTGTGCCCATGTATCTATTTCACTGTAACACCTACTTCTCTGCAGGCCCGGGTCCTTTTTGCGCTGATTGTGCTGATCCAGCTCTTCATTCTCATTATCTATAGGCATCAACGATATCTAGAGCTTAAAGGTTAGTCACAGTTTCTTTCATTCTTAGAAGACTTTATTTTAAAGTAGTACGTAATGTCCTCACTATTGCCAAATGATAAATATGAATATAAATATAAATTGTCTTTGCCTGAGCTCTGTGAGGTATACCCTTTCAACTACCACACATTTTCCATAGTACTCTAGCTTAAAAAAATAACCCAACAAAAACCAAAACCTTTAATCGCTTGCTGCTACATGAGGCTCAACCAAAATGGGGGGGGGGGGGGGGGGAAATTACCATATAGCTCAAAGTTGCCAAACATCTCTACTAGACATTGAAGTGTTACCTAACTAGCCATAGTTTCACCCAGTTACCTGTAATACATTCTAGGTAATTATTCACTGTTCATACCGTGCACATTTCTGCTTCTGCACTTTTGCCCAGGTCATCATCTCTAATTTAAATTGTTTTCCTAAACTTGTCTAATCTTAGCCTCCTTTAGGGCTCATCTCAAAACCACCTTTTCCATACCATTTTCTCCAACCATTCCAGGTCATAATGAGCTCTTGTTTCTCTAAGTCCCTATAGTCCTTCCTGACGATTAATTGATACATAATTAGCCAATCACTTGGCTTTACATAACAACTTCAAATGATATACATTTTCTCCTCAGCCAAACTCTAAGTTCCTCAATGCAGGAGCCTTTGTTTTCTACTTCTTGTTTGTTTTCCACAGCACCCAGCACCGAGTTGGTGCATAATAGACAGTAAATACTTGTCAAATTAAACTTTCCTTATCTCTTCTTGGCTTGGGTGAAATTGCTGAGGTCAGGGACTGATTATGGGGGAGGGGAGAACTGTAGTAATGACTAAACAGTAACATGGTTAGCTGAATAGGTAGTGCACTACTGAATGTTTTCCTGCACACTCTCTCTCTCTCTCTCTCTCTCTCTATATATATATATATATATATATATATATAGAGAGAGAGAGAGAGAGAGAGAGAGATAGTAAAACTTCTATGAAAAAGTTCCAGAAACATTATTGCCCACATATATTTTGCACATAATGTACATATATAAATATTTGAGGAAGGGCCCCAATCTCATTATGTGGGAATACCAATATCTTTGTGTAGTTATGTAAAATTTACAACATATTTTACCTGCATTATCTCACTTAATTCTTACAGCAATCTTAAGAGGTAGGAATTATTGTCCCCATTTTAAACATTAGAAAACCAAGGACTGGAGAGGTTATATAGATTGTCCAAAATGTCATAGCTAGTAAGAGACAGAGGAGAGACTTAAAACGCAAGTCTTCCAATCCCAGGTCAGTTTTTTTTTTTAAAAAAATCTTCACCCAAGGACATTGTTCCATTGATTTTTAGGGAGAGTGGAAGAGAGAGAGAAAGACAGAGAGGAATATTGATGTGAGAGAAACACATAGATTGATTACCTCCTGCACACACCTGACTAGGGGAGGAGCCTGCACCGGAGGTATGTGCTCTTGACCAGAATCGAATTCGGGACCCTTTGGTCCGCAGGCCGATGCTCTATCCACAGAGTCAAACTGGCTAGGGCTCCAGGTCAGTTCTTTTCTTTAAACAACACTTCTCAACTTTGACTACACTTTAGAATTCCATGGGGAACTTAAAATCTTACTGTCTACACAGTACCAATTACTACATCAGAATCTCTGTAGGGATAGGACCTAAACCAGGGGTGGGCAAACTTTTTGACTCGAGGGCCACAATGGGTTCTTAAACTGGACCGGAGGGCCGGAACAAAAGCATGGATGGAGTGTTTGTGTGAACTAATATAAATTCAAAGTAAACATCATTACATAAAAGGGTACGGTCTTTTTTTTTTTTAGTTTTATTCATTTCAAACGGGCCGGATCCGGCCCGTGGGCCGTAGTTTGCCCACGGCTGACCTAAACAGTAGCTTTTGAAGCTCCTCTGGTTTCAATATGCAGTTAAGGCTGAGAAGCATGGCAAAAGCAGTATTTCTTAGGCTACTTAGAATCACCTGGATTGCTGCCTAAGCTCCCCCTCTCCCCAAGGTCAATTAAATCAGAATCTCTGGAGGGTGAGACCTGGGCCTGAGTATTTTCTAAAAGTTCCCCCAGGTTATTCTAATGTGCAGCCAAAAGAGAGAATCATTGCTTGAAGTCTAAAGTATAGCTGCCTCTAAGGTTAAAGGATTATTTATTTACTAGAGACCCATTGCACGAAGAGATTCGTGCAATAGGCCTTCCTTCCCCTGGCTGCCGGCACCGGTTTTCCTCCGGTACCTGGGACCCAGGCCTTCGCTCCGGCCACAGCGGAGAAGGCAAGCCTCTTCAGTCTTCAGTCTTCAGTCTTTGCTCGGGCTGGAGCCTTCAGTTTTCACTCTGCACCTGCATATGCAAATTAACTGCCATCTTTGTTGGGTGAATTTACATAGTCATCCTGATTGGCTGGTGGGCGTAGTGGAGTGATGTCAATTTGCATGTTTCTCTTTTATTAGTGTAGATAATAAATATCCACCTATAATTATTATTATAGGTGGATATGTATTACTACTTTGAGAAGTACCAGGTTAGGACAAGAAGGAAGCTGAGACAGGAATGAGTAGCAAGTGTGTAATACACAAAGGGAGAAAAGTTATACATTATCACGTTTTGTATGAAATTAACTGTTAGCAGGCTGAATGATGTTATATGCTAGCCTGTGAAGAAAGACATACTAATTAACTTACATCAGGCTGTCTTACCATTGGGATCAGTTCTCTAAATACTTTCCACCTCTAAGGTTGCTCAGTGTGCACTGAGCTTCCTATCATAGTCTTCTGCTGCCTGATTTATGATCAGCCACATAATGAGTGGAATGGCTGCCTGGGGTTGAGGATCTGGAATACTTAGTCTGTGGCCACAGAATGGACCTTCTCTGTGTGAAGCCCTTAGACTTGGGCTTTTTGGTACTTTATTTTAAGAGATGCTTATTTGGAGAGCTTTATGGATCCCTTTCAATTGTAGTAAGAGGATAGCTGGGAGTTAAGAGTTGTATCACATATTGGAAAGGAATATTTGAACAGGTACTCATACTTAAGATTAGACTGGAGAAATGTATTTCTTTGATATGCCTTTGATATATTTTGACATACCTTTTGGAAGTTTGTACATTTGGACATTAAATCCCCTAGAAAACAAAGACTTGAGTATAGATTTGTATTTCAAGCACACATGAAGATAAACTAGTATCATCCTCTGGTGGGTCTTTTTTTAAAAATCTTTATTATTGAAACTATTATATATGTCCCCCATTTTTCCCCAGTGACCCCTTGTAGCCCTCCCCCTGGCAGGTATTTCTATATTGTTTTCAGTCATTTTGAAGTGTGTGTTCGCGTGCACACTCCTCACAACTATACCATTGCTTTGAATTTCTCACCCTCTGCAATTCTAAGTGAATTGGGCTCATCAGGATTCCCGCCAACTTACAAATTTAAAGTGGTGTCATCTGTATAGTTACCATATAACAACATATTTGCTGAATATATAGGATAGCCCATGGAAGTCTTCTAGAAAATGTTATAAAGAAATTAAACTTTATGTATGTTCATTGGATTTTTCAAATTTATTCTCTTTAGGACCTCCAGGATTTATAAATTTGACCTCATTTTCCCTTCATGTCTTGAGCAAAATAAACATCTTCTACTATTCTGTCTTGTTCCTGACTCTATATACAGTGCTGGGTAAGTCAATTAGGAAACCTGAGATTGTGGAGCAATCAGTAGAGTCATTTAGGCTCTGTAGAGCATAACACACGGCACATGGTTCCTTCATAAGTCATTTCCTTGGATATGGTCTTGGGAAATAAAATTGTTTCTTAACGTGTTTAAGGGGCATTTAGTTTACTTAAGAGTGCTAAGGAAACCATTGCAGAATCTGTGTAGAAACTTAATAGGAGATAGTTCAGCTTAATTGCCATCTCTTCAAAGCAGCCTTTTTTGACTACCTTCAAGTTTTATCCTCTATTTCATCATGCTTTTTATTTCCTTCATTACTTTATCAGAATTTATGATTATCTTCTGTGTTCATCATCTTTTCCCTTATTAGAATATCCATTGATGTCTTTTCTCTCTTGTTCACCTTTATGTCCACCACTAAGAACAATGCCTAGCATATAGTTTAGTGAATAATTTATTAATGTGTTGCTTCTAAAAAAGAAAAGAAACTGAGATGAGCAGTGAGTTTAGTTATATCTGAAACTCTTCTGTTATATTAATTATTATGCCCAATACTTATAAAGTCACTTAACCACTTATGGAAATAGAAAGCACTGAGTTGTTTTTTTTAAGCTTCTTACTAATGTACCTTACTGACTAAAAATAAATTAGGCTATTTGTAGCTTAGTCTTTGTTTTACACTTTTATTCCACTAGAGAACACAAAGTAGTAAAATAAAAAAGATGACATTTTACCATCCTATATAATAAAGAGCTAATATGCTAATTAGACCAAACAGCAGAACGACCATCCGGACGACCTTGCAGACGAAGCTGGGCCCTGAAGCTGGGCTGCAAGGGCTGAGCCCCTTGCACAGATTTCGTGCACAGGGCCTCTAGTACTATATAACAAGCTATAGCAGATTCCCCTTTGGAAGTCAGTTTTCTTGTTTGTTGAAGCTGATTTGGACACATGTCTTACACTGGAAGACAAAGCAAGTGATTTGGTTCCTGGCTGTGAAAGAAAACATGGAGAGGGCAGAAGTTGCTTCATTTTTAAAAGTTGAAACTTCAAGGGAAAACACTTTTTTAGATGAATATGTATCTAATGGAGTTTATTAGTAATATATCTGAGAAAAGTACCTATGACTTTTTAAAAGCTGAAGTCTAGTCTTACCAGCAAATTATAGTATTGCATTTTAAGAAAGGGAATCTGACAGTCCCTTAATCACTCTTTACATATAGTAGTTCCAGGCACCTGCATACTGAGAATGGGCAGTAAATAATAGTAGGGAGGAGGAGAGAAAAGTCATTCTGGTATTATAGGTGAAAAAATAAAAAAGCAAGTTAAATTCTGTTCATGTTCACCCTGCCTATATAGTTGATGTATAAAGTAATGACTATGGATCAGCAAGAAAAGGTAAAATATTAATAATCATTAACATTAGTAATAAAGAGAAGTACATTTTAGAAAGATGAAAGTGGTTGAAGTTTTATAGCTTAAATGAGTAAATCTCAGTCATCTAGAAGATTAACTTTTGAGGAATACCTCTTTGCTTCTTTTTTTTTTTTTTAAATATATTTTATTGATTTTTCACAGAGAGGAAGGGAGAGGGATAGAGAGTTAGAAATATCGATGAGAGAGAAACATCGATCAGCCGCCTCCTGCACATCTACTGGGGATGTGCCCGCAACCCAGGTACATGCCCTTGACCGGAATCGAACCTGGGACCTTTCAGTCCGCAGGCTGACGCTCTATCCACTGAGCCAAACCGGTTTTAGCACCTCTTTGCTTCTTAAAGGAAATGTTAATGAATTGTATTGACGTAATTACTGCAACAGAATCTCCTAAGATTTGTGAATACACTCCTGTATGTTTCTGGAGTTACAAGCTACATATCTTGTCCAGGTATAGTATGTACTCAGATGATTTCATAATCCAGAGAAATATGGAGTAAAGGAGCAAATAGTTAGTTGGTTAGCTAGGATATCGGGTGCAGCATAGAGATTAGCAAAGAAAAAAAGCTATGTAAATAAAATGCTTATAGATGACTAGTCTCATATTTCTTCGTTATTCCTGCAAATGCATCTTGTGATGTATGTAATCAGAGTCATAGTTATTTAATCTTCCCTCTCCACTTCTTCTTCAGGACCATGGTTCATTGGTGAAATTACTAAAGGCAAAATGGGTTGCTGCTTTTCCTTTGGGATCTTTGTTGATGGGCGTTTCCTACAAGGCAGTTTAACATTTGTGGTTGGAATTCTCCAGGTAAGAAGTCAGAAAAGCAACTTAAGAACATCTTGACTTTGTCAGACTAATTGTGTAACACTTAAGAATTAAATTCAAAATCCCAAATTAGATACCATAGATCAGTGATGGCGAACCTATGACACGCGTGTCAGAGGTGACACGCGAACTCATCTTTTTGGTTGCTTTTTCTTTGTTAAATGGCATTTAAATATATAAAATAAATATCAAAAATATAAATCTTTGTTTTACTATGGTTGCAAATATCAAAAAATTTCTATATGTGACACGGCACCAGAGTTAAGTTAGGGTTTTTCAAAATGGTGACATGCCGAGCTCAAAAGGTTCGCCATCACTGCCATAGATCATGTTTCCTAATTTACTGGCAGGCAGTATTTAATAACTGGTATTTTGTTTGCCTTTTGAGTACTGCCTACGCTCTTCCACCATTCTCATGTAAACATCTAAAATACATTTTTGGTAGACAGGGTTTATAAGAGGGGAAAGAGGTTTTGGCTTCTGTTGCTTGTTTCACCGTGCTTTTTATTGACAAAATGAATGAAATAAGGGACTTATGGTAGAATAAAGGATAGACTTCTGATTAAACCAAAATTGATTATGAAAATGAAGCAGGAAAATATTTCAGAAGGAGGAAAGGAAAATGACACATATAAGAAAAGTATTCAGTTAACCACTGGAAGCTGCACTGGGCAAAACTAGCCCTGGGTTTCCTAGTAATGTCTTATTGGTATACTTGTTTTGGAAACACTGATACATTTGATTTACATTTTGATCGAAATACCTTTAAAACAAACACACACGCAAACAAAACCCTGACCCATAGCAAATCTCTATAAATAGGTTTGAAAGATATTTACCTAACCATTTATTTTACTCACTTAAGGGGACTAATCGACCAAAATCTGGAGGTAATGATCTGGAGTTTTGGAAGAGATCCAAAAACATTGTTCAAAATGAGTTTGAACAATGTTCAAACAGGGTAGTAAACATGATCAGCAGGATTAGAGCTAAACAAATAGGGAAGACCTCTGCAAACTGGCCATAGGCCCGAACGTTCTCTATAAAGCTGCATTTCCTATGTGTATACGTCTGGGTCCAGTTCAGTCTTTTTGTTATGTAAATGGAGGTTGTCTCTCAGGAGCACTCTTGTACCAAGTAAAACCTGAACCGTACCAAAGGGTGGGTATATATTCATACTTGAATAGTAGTACATTAATGATGGATCTTAACTACATCTAGGCTCATGACTCCCAAATCTGTATCTCTGATCTAGACCTGTTCTCTGCACTCCAAGTGCCTATATATCCAGCTGTCACTTCTCGTCTTCCCTTAGATATCTAACAAGCATCTCAATTTAAAAGTATACTTTTAATAGGACCTTTAATTTCTACCCCCAAATTTGTTCCTCTCTAGTTAATTTTAATTTTACTAAATGGCTCCACAATTTACCCAATTTCTTTAAGATGTATCTCCAATCCTTCCCCTTCTCTCATATTCTTTCTAGCAAGTAATACCTTGTTTGCTCTGTCTCCTATATATATCTTGAATCCACCACTTCTCTCCATCTCATTATTACCACCCTAATTTAAGTCAGGGCCATGCAAAATTATTACCTTAAAAATTAGCCTGCTATGCTTGGTCAAACATTTAACTCACCTCTAAGGCCTTGGCAGGGCCAGACCAAATGATTTCACAGGCCTTATACGACCTGCAGGCTGGACGTTCCCCACCTCTGCTTTAAGCAGAGCAGTGACATGATCGGGGTCCTGCTGATTGCCCAAATTTCCACCTGGCTCATCATGTTTTAGGCCATTGGCTTTAAATAGGCCAAGACCTCACCTACCTCTGGGCTTTTCATTTGATCCTTCTTCAGGAATGCACTTCCTCCCATTGACTCATTCCTGTACTTCAGGCCTCAGAGAGTTCGTCTGCCATTTACCCTCTTATTTTCTTTCTAGATTTTCTCAAAATCTGTAATTAATTTTTTTGAGGGGAGGGGGGGTTATCCCTGTTAGAATTCAAGCTCTATAATGCATCTTTTCTGACTTGTTTACCAGTATGTCCCAGGCCTAAAGTGTTGCACAGGGCTTGCCACATAATGGATGATGAATGAATGGTACAGCAGCTAAACCTGGATTATAACTTAAACCTTCTAATTTGTATTCCAGTAATCATCATGGTACTTCAAATAAAAATACAGAGATTAAAAAAATATTGATACCCAAGTAACCCCCTCCCTCTGCCAACAAAGCATGTGAGCGTGTGTATGCATACATATTCAATTCATTTCCTCCTTAAACATTATCGAGGGCTTCAAGATAAGTGAAGTGATACTTGCCTTTAAAATGAAAGAAAGGATACAGGCCCAAATATACAACTAACCATAAGTCAACTGTTGTGATATAAGCAAGTGTGATTGAAGCATAAAGAATCAGAGAGTTAACCCCCCAAGAGGGAAAGCAGCATATTCTTAGGAGCTACCTAATATATTAGTGAGCCCTGGCCCTGACGCCTCTGAGGGCTTGCTAGTAAACTAATGATGATGTTCTCCTCTTTCCAGTTGGCATTTTTTAACATCCCCTTGATGGCTTACCTGTGTTGGAGCTTGCTGCAGCGGTGCTATGGTCACAACTTCAGGTCTCATCTCCGTCAAGGAAAATACTTGAAAATTATTCCTGTTTACCTTTTTGTGTTACTGCTATACATCTGGCAGATTTATGCCTGCTATTTTCTTCAGAGGGCATATGGCACTCTAGCTTTTTTCTTCTCCCCTTTGCGGACCTGGTTGACACTGTTGACACCTGTTCTCATTCATCGCGTATGGACACTGAACTCCAAGGAGCTTGTCACCTTTACAGTGCAGCTAAAAAGCCACCTGAGCTCCTGAAGGCCATGTCTCACCATCTACCTCTGTCGCCCAGGCCTCTGCCCCAGCAGCAGGTGGAAGGCCAACACTGGTGGGCAAGCTTCAGGGAGCTGCTGCTCCTTGGCTGCCTAGGGGTTGGGTGATTACCCACTACTGATTCCTGCAGAATGGACTTGCAGAGGAGTCTCTAAATGATGCTATGATTCCTTCCTTCCCCAAGAAGGCAAAGGGTTGATTTACTTCTGTGAAGGGTAGAGGACAGGGGCTGGGTGTGTATGGGCGTATCTGAGGCCCAGTGTTTTTAGGGCTAACTCATGTAAAGTACCGAGCACAGTGTCTGGAACTCAGCAGTCAAGGGTGCCACTTTAGAGTCGGAGAACCAGTGTGAACTTGGACCTGACCCTGACTACCCTGGCACTATTAGCTCTCAGTCTGCTTTAACGGCAGGCTGGGGCCTCCGCTTCTTCAGTGGGGGAGGGGGAGTTTCAATCAATCAAATACAGTAAATGAATGACAATAGGAAATAACTCGTCCCAGCCCGTGTGGCTCAGTTGGTTATCCTGTGCACCAAGAAGTCCTGGGTTGAATTCCCCGTTAGGCACATGCCCCGGTTGCAGACTCTATCTCCAGTAGGGGGCATGCAGGAGGCAGCCAATGGATGTTTCTATCTGTCCCTCGCCCTTCATCTCTAAAAATAAAATCAATAAAAACATTTTTAAAAAATGGAAATAGTCTGGCCAGTATGGCTCAGTGGTTAAGCTTAGACGTAGACCTATGAACCGGAGGTCACCGTGTGATTGCCGGCCGGTCAGGGCACAAGCCGGGGTTGCAGGCTCAATCCCCAGTGCGGGGTGTGCAGGAGGCAGCCGATCAATGATTCTCATTATTAATGTTTTCCCCTCTCCCTTCCTCTCTGAAATTAAAAATAAAAAAGGAAGTAACTCCTCGGGGGCGGGCCATGGGAGGCGTGGCCTGGTCTGGGGCGGGCGGGGCGGTTTGTTGCCGGAAAGGACCCGGGTCTGTGACGCCGGAAGTGGAGCGGCCGCAGCAGTGCGGCCCCGGCCCCGGCAGCTGCCTCGGCGCCCTGCCTGCCGGCCCCAGGCCGTCTCCGGAGATGGCGAGCGCGGCGGCCCCTGCAGCGCCCTCCCTTTCCCCGCCTCTGGAGCAGCTGCGGCATTTAGCCGGGGACCTGCGGCTACTCTTGCCCGGAGTGCGGGGTGAGCGGACGCCGTTGGGACGGGCGACCGTAGGGACGGGCTTGGGTCGGGAAGAGGCCCAGCTGTGGCGGGGGTCGGGCGGCGTAGCGGGGGTCTGGGTGCCGGGGAGGGAGGCCGGGCGGAGGAGGCGGGGGTCGGGGGCCCAGGCGGCTCCGGTCACCTCTGCTCTTCCTTCCGCCACTGCCCGCGGGCGCATGCCCCCCACCCACCCAGTGGGCGAAGCCCTGGAGACCGCCAAGGAGTTCAGCCGGGAGACGTTTTGGCGCCGACTCAGTGAGTGCCCCTGCTGCTGGGGACCCCCACCTCCCGTCTGCTCCCAGCGGCCCGCCTGGCCCCTCCCTCTCTCCCCTCCCCCGCATCCTCTCTGCGGGGGCCTCACCGGGCCCGCCGTCGGCACCTCGGAGGGTGAAACTGTGAACACCGGTTTTTGGAGGTGCTTTGAGACCTCTCAGCCAGCAGGGGTGGAGAGGAGCGCGTTATCTTAAAGTCCGCGCAGCCGCGGCAGCCGGGCCCTGTGGGCACTGACCGGCGCCTGCCCTCCCCGCTGTCGCCCCCAGATGAGGCAGCTGAGACGGTGTCCAGGGAAGCCACGACTCTCACCGAAGTCTTCGCTCGACTCCCGCGGCCACCGCCGTCCGCGCAGGTGGGCTTTGCGTTCCTGTGCTGCCTCCTGATTCCTTAGGAATCCTCTCTCCATCTTTCCACCTCTGAGCTCAGCCAGGGGACTTATTCTTCTTATCTGTCAAACAGGACTGCAGTTCTCACCCCCCAGGATTGTTGTGAGGACCACATTGCCACGTGCAGGGCCTGGCCTGGAGTAGGCTGGTCTTCTAAGTAGAACTGGTTCAGCTTATTACCTTTCTGGTCATTTAAGCACTTGCTATTTGTTTTCCCATAACTCACCCCCATCTAGCAGATGAGTCAGCAGGCTCAGAGGCTAGGGTTAAGGTGTATAAGCAGTGAGTTAGGATTTAAATTAGGATCTATCTGATGTCTAAGCTATACACCTTTTTTGTTACGCTACATCCCTTTTTATATTCAATTATTTTTATATTAATCAGTAACAATGTATACAGTATAAAATTTAAAAGATATCAAAGTTAAGTGTGCTACAAAGTTTATTTCTCCGTTCCCTAGTTCCTTTTGAATTGCTCATAAGTATTCTATGCATATGCACATTTATGTATATATGCCTGCTTCTTTTTACACAAATGACAGAATGCCATAAACACTTTTCTGGATCTTTTTTAAAAAAAATTAACACCCTGGCCGGTTTGGCTCAGTGGGTAGAGCGTCGGCCTGCGGACTGAAGGGTCCCAGGTTCGATTCTGGTCAAGGGCATGTACCTTGGTTTCGGGCACATCCCCAGTGGGGAGTGTGCAGGAGGCAGCTGATTGATGTAACTCTCTCTCCCTCTCTCTTCCTCTCTGTAAAAAATCAATAAAACTATTTAAAAAATGTTTTAAAAATTAACAATATAGTTTGCAAATTGATTCTCAGCAGCACATATAAAGTTGATCATTTCTTTGTAATGGCTGCAAGGTATTCAGTAGAGAGCATATAACCATAATTCAGGTAGCCAGTACTCTATGTAGACATTTAAGCTGTTTCCAATTTGTAGCTATTATAAACAGTGCTGTAAATTGCCTAATACATTCTTGGTATATGTGTGTATATTGGTAAAAAAACAAAACAAAACCACACACATATGCAACAACAACAAAAACAATTCCAGGAAGTGGAATTGCTAGAACAAAGACTTTATGCATTTAATAACCCCTTTATTATAAAACTAATGAAAATAAACATGTCAACTGTGACCAAGTGTGCTCTATGCCCAGTTTTTCTAGAGCTAGGTATACTGAATTTGGGATAAATTTATTTAAAAATGGCATACTCATTGCCTTATTTGATTTTCGCAGTTAATAGTTTCGTTTTCTTAATCAATCTATATTTCCAGATGTTTTGAAATGGAAAAATACTCTTGCTGCACCTACAATGATAAACTCTCTCCCCCTACATAACTCAGAGATCTGTGATGAGGAAATGAGATTAATTATATGAGAGCACTTGAAAAACTTTGTGGAAGAAAGTCAATATTTATTTCAAAGGGAGTTAGTAATAATACCTTGTTTTTCTTACCTGCCAACTCCCTTCTTTCAAATATTCTTAGGACTTGCTGCTAAAATTCACAGCTAGTAAGATACCGTGAGGAGGCAGCATAGAACTATTTTCTGTACATTCTTAGGTCAGTGGTTTCACTCAGATGGAAAATTAGAATTTGGTTTTATTTGAATTATATATATTTGAATCACAATTGCTTAGGATCTCAGCATGCTAGTCTTACTGAATAATAGTTATATTATTTTTAATTTCAGTTCCATATGGACATTTCCTTTTATAAACTTATGTATTTGGATGTTGAAGGAATGTCAAATTGCCATAAAAGTTTCTAAACACTCTCAGTCACTGTCCTTATCCATCCCAGACTAGTAAGCAGTTTGGGGACTGGCACCATTCTGTAGAGCACATTTTGCATAGCACTGGCTTAAAATTTAGCAGCTAAATGAGGACAAGGAAGATAAGTGAAAGTCAGTGTCTGCTTAGAAGGCAAATAGTCAACACTGAACATTGTAGAGTCCATTATTACCTTTAGGCATATTATGATCCTGCAGAACTAGAGAAAGAGAGAGACAGACACCTGGTTAATGGTCTAAGAGGATGGGCAAACTTTTTCTGTAAAGGGCCAGATAATAAATATTTACGCTTTGCAGGCCAGTGATGCAACTCTGCCCTTGTAGTGCAAACACAACTATAGATAATATGTAAACAAAAGAGTATGACTGTGTACCGGTAACACTATTTAAAAAAACCTGGCAGTGCACCTGACTTGGCCCAGGGGTCCATAGTTGGCCAATTCCTGGTCTAAGATAAGGTGAATATTTCACAGCAGAAATCAAGAATAAGTTTTTCCAGCTGTTTCTTCATGTTTTATTGAATTACCAGCTCAGTACCTGGTGTCCGGCTAACTTCTCTCTAGTATGTGATGAGAATAGGACAAGGCCTAACTCATACTAGGACTTCAGAAAGGGTTTGTGATGTTATACCGTTGTCTTCTCTCTTCCAGAGTAGAAGAGTTGACCAGATTGATCTAATCCATTTCGTTTTTCATTCTGAAATTGGTCTACCTCTTCATAGGAAGCCCAGAGGCTCTGTGAACAAGTCCATGCTGCCATCAAGGCAATTATTGCAGTATACTATTCGCTTCCCAAGGATCAGGGTAAGTCACTGTCACACATAAACATTGGGTAGACCTTGGCTAATGTGACAGCTTATGTACTGAAACTTTACCTTGCCCTCAATTTGAGCAGGTAATGTAACTTCCTCATAAAATGCAAAGATAACTTCATAATGGAAGTGACCTCTGTAAATAAGCCTTCAGCTATAGATGCTGTGTTCCCATCCCCCTCGCCTTACCTGACTCTAAGGTTTCTCATTCTCACTAGCTCCTTCCTCTCTAACCCAATATACCATCACAGATGCTGGCTAAGTCTCACCCCATACCCAGGCCCAAGCTATCCCCAGTCTCCACCCATATTATATCACACTCTATTGCTGAGTTTCCTTATACATTAAGTGGCTTCCATGTCTTTTTTATTTTTTACTTTTATTGATTTCAGAGAGGAAGGGAAAGGAAAGATAGAAACATCAATGATGAGAGAGAATCATTGATCAGCTGCCTACTGGGGATAGAGTCCGCAACCCAGGCATGTGCCCTTGACCAGAATCGAACCTGGGACCTGCAGGCCGGCGCTCTATCCACTGAGCCAAACCAGCTAGGGCCATGCCTTTCTTATAATCAGCAGTCGGGAACGGTGGGAAGAGCAAGAAAATGACATGGGGACATAAGTCGACCTGTTTTGTGTGGGTACTCCAATTACAGCATGTGCGTGCACATTACCTTAAGTTCTGTAGTGCTTACACTCTTGAGGAAAGTAGATGTTGGCTTCTGGAAAGAAGACCGGCTGCTTAGTCTTTGGGTTTGGCTACAGGAATCACTCTGAGGAAGCTGGTTCGGAGCGCCACTTTGGACATCGTGGATGGCATGGCTCAGCTTGTGGAAGTGCTTTGCACCACTCCAGCTCAGAGGTAGTGATGCCACGGTTGAGTATTAGTTAATGGGGTTCCTTGTATCAGGAAGGGATAAAAGCTCAGTTCAACAGCAAAATTGTAGTGTAACTGAGAGTAATAACCAGGAGGAAGGAGCTCTTTAGGACAGGAACCTAGATTATTGATATGTCCTTATTGATTCCTTTCCTCAGCCCTGAGAACAATGACCTTATTTCTTGCAACAATGTCTGGGTTGCGTGCGAGCAGGTGCCTCAGATACCAAGAGGTGGGTAAGAGTGGGAAGTGGGTCATTGACTCTGATGGCCAAAGCAGACAGACCTCTCATACTAGCTTCCAGTTTTGTACCATATATATATTTTAACTTACATAAAGAGTTTAGTCAAATATATATACTTTATTACCAATAGCAAAAGATAGGTATGAATACTTTCTGCCAGTCTTTTTAGTTCTCATATTTCTTAATTCAAACTCGGTTTGCTGTGGCTCTGCTTCTTATTGAACCCATATGGCTTATTCTCCTGGTCCTGCCTGCCCCAGAATCAGTATTTCTTTTCTTTAAAAAAAAAAAAAAAGAAGCTTTTATTTATTTTTGAGAGGGAGGAAGAAAGAGAGAGAGAGGGAAACCAATGTGAGAGAGAAACATCAATCAGATCACCTGCCTCCTGCAACCCCCCCTGCTGGGGATTGAGCCCACAGCCTGGGCATGTTCCTGACTGGGAATCTAACTGGTGACCTTTTGGTACATGGGGCGATGCCCAACCAACTGAGCCATACTGGCCCTGGCCCCAGGTTCAATATTATGAGACATACTGAAGCAGTTATGAGGTAGAACCAGCTAGGTCAAAAATTGTGGTCATTCAAGAGGACCATTGAGAAACACCTTGTGACCATTTTACTTGCAGTGAATGATAAGCTTTTTAGCCCCCTGTTTTGATATCCAGAGGATGTATGTGAGAATTTTACATTAAACCACTGGCCTTGTTGAATGTCCTTGGCACTCCCTTCAAATGGGGACATTGTTGATTGCCCTTTGCAGACATCAGAGAATTGTTGGGTTTCTCCTCTAATTTTTTACTTACAGATAACAAAGCTGCAGCCCTTTTAATGCTGACAAAGAGTGTGGATTTAGTGAAGGATGCACATGAGGAAATGGAGCAGGTGAGACGACGTCTATCTTTGCTGGTCATTGGAAGGCAACTGTGACTAGTAGATGAGAATTGGTTATAAAGACAGGAGATGTCCTGAGCACTGGCCGAATAAGTCCCAGCCTCACTCCCATCCTCCATCTCCCACCTGCACCCCATGCTGGTGTGTGATTTAGTACCACTCCCCTGTCCCATTGCTGGACTAGGAGAGAGAGAGGGTTTATGCAGTGATCCAACTCTGTCGCCATTAGTGAAGTAGCTAGCTGAGGTTTGGAACAACTCAGACATGATGCTGAAAGTACAACAGACTTTTTTTTTTTTTGGCATTCACATAAATGATGGTATGTCTTAGGCTGTGGAAGAATGTGACCCTTACCATGGCCTCTTGAATGATGATGAGAACAACTCTGACAACCATGGTGATGAACAGGATGATGTGTTGGGGTGTCCAAACAATCAGGACTCATATTGGTCAGAGGAAGATCAAGAGCTGATAATCCCGTGCCTTGCGCTGGTGAGAGCATCCAAAGCCTGCCTGAAGAAAATCCGGATCTCAGTGGCAGAGAATGGGAAGAAGGACCAGGTGGCCCAGCTGGATGACATTGTGGATATTTCTGATGAGATCAGCCCTAGGTAAGTGTGAGCTCTACTTGAAATACCAGTTCTGATATTCTGAGCAGCAATTCTGATCTCTGCTTGTGTTGTCATCCCAGTTTTTCCCCCAGTTTCTTTTTATTTTGAAAATCTTCAAGCCTACAGGAAAGTTGAGAAAGTATTGCAGCGAGCACCCACACATATCCTTCACTTATTATTCACATTATTTTCTATATCGGTTTATTTCTCTATAGATAGATGTGCCATTTTTCCCCACTGAACCATTTGAGAGTAAGTTGCAGACATCAGTGACATTTCACCTTTAAATACTTTTATTCTTATTATAGCCAAGAAATTTAACATTGAACAAATTAATATGATCTAATATTCAAATTTGTTCAGTTGTCTCTAAAATATCTTACAGAATTTATTTTTTTTAATCTTACGTTCTGTCTTGGTGTCACATTGCATTTGGTGGTCATCTCCGTGGTCTCTTGAAACTAGAACAACCCCTGTCTTTTTTAGTCTTTTTCTTAATTGACATTTTTAAAAATCCAATTTTTAAAAAATTGGCATTAACAATTTAAAATAATCTTTGTAGAATATTCAACAATCTAGATTCATGTGACTGTTTTTTCATGATCATATATTCAACTTAAAGATTTTTTGGCAAGAGTGTTTTGGGCTTCTCATCGCGTCACTTTGAGTGTCACGTGATGTCAATTTGTCCCATTATTGGTGGAACTAAATTTGATCACTTGGTTAAGTGGTGCCCACTTTGGTGGCATTATATGGACGAACCCCTCCTATATTAGTTATTAAATTGGTGGTTTCAGATCCTCACATTTTTTAATGAATCATGTCTTCTCCTAGTGCAGTGATGGCAAACCTATGACACGTGTGTCAGAGGTGACACGCGAACTCATTTTTTTGGTTGATTTTTCTTTGTTAAATGGCATTTAAATACATAAAATAAATATCAAAAATATAAGTCTTTGTTTTACTATGGTTGCAAAGATCAAAAAATTTCTATATGTGACATGGCACCAGAGTTAAGTTGGGGTTTTTCAAAATGCTGACACGCTGAGCTCAAAAGGTTCGCCATCACTGTCCTAGTGAAACAGGATATATATGTGTTCAGTAAATACCCGTTGAGTTGATTGTTTATTGGTTGCCCAATTTAAGGAACTGATAGGCATTTCTGGGGCAGTCATTTTCTTATTGGTTGGCATCCTTAGTTGTGTGCTAGAGCCACATAGCTGTGCTTTGTTTCATTTTTTGTTAATGGTTATTTTTACTTTCTGCCCTTAGTGTGGATGATTTGGCTCTAAGTATATATCCACCTATGTGCCACCCGACTGTGCGAATGAGTGTAAGTACCTGCGTTGATAAACCCAGTTGGTAGAATTTTACCAATCACTAGCATGTTCTTTAAGCTGTAGGAAATACATTTGTGACACTTGGACATAAGTACAACAGTAATATATTTCTTACATGTGTTTTTTTTTTTTTAAGGGGGTTCCTAAGTTCAGCTCTCTCTTTAAATGTGACCACTGTTGTTGTTTTGTTTTGTTTTTATTTATTTATTTTTATTGCTTAAAGTATTACAAAGGGTTCTTACATGTGTTTTGTGCTTGATAAATATTTGCTGAATTATAATAGCCATGAGCTCTGGTAGTACTGTTTTCTATAACCACCTGGGTAATCATTTAGAAAAACCCAAAGACCTTAGAAAATGCTTCTTTGAAGAGAATGTCTTAATTACTGTAGTGCTTTCAGATCTTCTCATCTGAAGTCACCTGTTTCTAATTTCTGCTATAGGCAGAAATACGTGTTCCAGAAAACAACTCTGTTCTAATATAAACACATTATGTGATTTAACCATGGAGGATCAAGTTCTTTATAAAATCTGATTATATTGTATTCTTTGAAGTCCTGGGTTCTGTGCTAGAGAGAGTTCTGTTTTATTTTTATAAACTCAAGTTCTTTTTTTTTTTTTTTAAATATATTTTATTGATTTTTTACAGAGAGGAAGGGAGAGAGACAGAGAGTCAGAAACATCGATGAGAGAGAAACATCGATCAGTTGCCTCCTGCACATCTCCTACTGGGGATGTGCCCGCAACCCAGGTACATGCCCTTGACCGGAATCGAACCCAGGACCTCTCAGTCCACAGACCGATGCTCTATCCACTGAGCCAAACCGGTTTCGGCAAACTCAAGTTCTTATCTCTAACATTATTGAAAGGAGAAGTAAACTGCCAAATGGCTTATATTCTATAATCAGATGTATCAATCCTAATCATATTTGATAAGTTAAATAGTGGAAATTAGATACATCAAAGTATCTTCATAATATACAAACACCTTGAAGGAGAATAGGATATTTTTGGGCATTAACTTTTTAAATTTGTATTCACTTTTAAAAAATTGACTTCCTAAGAAATAAACATCTTTAGCAATATGCCTTCTCAATTACCTTGAGTAAAAATATAAAATATGTATTATATATTGATGGCATACATTCATCCTCATGTTATCTTGTCATTGGTGTTCTTAAAATTCTGTACGTAGATTTTTAAAAAAGAATAAGGATTTAAAAAATATTTTTTATTATTGATTTTAAAGAGAGAGGAAGGGAGAGAGAGAGAAACATAGCTTGTTTGCCTTCAATATGCACCCCTATTGGGGACCGAACCTGCAACCCAGGCATGTGCCCTGACCAGGAATCAAACCGGCAACCTTTCGGTACACAGGACAGTGCTCAACTGACTGAGCCACACTGGCCAGGGTTATACGTAGATTTTTAAAAAGAAAAACAGTTGTTTCTACTATATGTTTAGAACTATCAGAAGTTGGGACAAATTCAGATTATATTCTTCCTTTTGCTGTTTTATTAATTTAAAATATTTTGTTAAAAATCTTGTAAAAGTGTTGTAGCAACAGTATTATTAAGATTTGGCTAAATAGTAAAGAATCCAAAATCAGGGTGAGTCCTTACCATAAAAATAAACCTTCTCTGTTTCTTTTCTAGGCTGCAAAACTTGTGTCTGTTCTAAAGAAGGCACTTGAAATTACAAGGTGAGTATGAGGACTTCTCCCCAAATAGATGTTTGAGAATAAACCTGTCCAGCCATTCTCAACTCCCAAACCCCCATTTGAAGGAGCGGGTATGGAGTTTTCTTTCAGCTTCAGTTGTGGAGCAACTGAGCTTCTGCAGAGAAACTTGCCTTTTCTTAATTTAATTTCCTCTGTGCTTCCTGTTGAAGATATGTTTTCCTTTGACAATACAATAAATTTCATTTCTTTTTCCCCCCCATTCCATTCACAGAGCGAGTCATGTAACCCCACAACCAGAAGATAGTTGGATCCCTTTACTCATTAATGCTGTTGATCATTGCATGGACAGAATCAAGGAACTCACTCAGAATGAACTTGAATTATGAGTTTTCAGGCTCATTTGTACTCTCCTCTCTCCTTTTCTTACTGTCACAGCCAGGCTCTGATGTCTGCTTTTAAAATGGGGCTAGAATGTTTTCTGGTTTGAAAAGGAGTTTCTGTCTATATTTATCAAGAGGCACTATTACCAAAGATTGTTGGTTAGGCCAGACTGGCAATTATTTATAAAACGTATGAGTATGATATATTTTTCTGTGCTAGCTTCAAAAGATAATGGCATGATTTTGTGTTTCTTAATCTCCTCCCAGAGATTCCTGGGGAAGCTGCCTCATTCCCTATTTGCAATAAAGTATATTGATTCATTGTTAAAGATGTTGACAATCTCAATAAAATACTAACCTGCCAGTGCTTAAATGAGTACTCCTCCAAAGTTTCTTTCTACCAGAAATACAGGTGGAAACTAAAACATTGCTTTCCTTTAGGCTTAAAAGTCTGAAGATCTGATTCTGTTCAGAAGTATGCATAGAACAGAACACTTGACTTTAAAGAAAGTGACTCCAAAGCCCCTCTTAGTAATTGAGCATGTTATATAATATCATTATTCTTATAAGTCCTTCTGAATATTATTACAGGTCACTCCATGCCTCTAAAATTATTTTGTGGTATTGAGCTCATTTGTTAAGTTTGTTAACCTTGTTGAACCAGATTTGTTTTTCTTATACATACCTGTATTGTTTTCTGTTATATATTACATGTCCCCATATATAAATACAAAATTAAAAGCAAAAAAAATTTAATTGATCTTTTAGAGGAAGGGAGAAAAAGAGAGAGAGAGAGAAACATCGATATATTGCCTGCTGCACATGCTCCAACTAGCAATCGAACTTGGGTACGTGCCCTGACTGGTAATTGAACCCACCATCTTTGGTGAACAGGATGACTTTCAAACCAACCAAGCCATACCGGCCAGGGCTAAATACAAAATTTTTATAAACCAAAAAATTTTAAATGTATAAGCTTATATAATGTTAAGTGTCTCTTTAGTTAAATCTTTTGCAAAATCATCACCAACCTATATAATAAAAGGGTAATATGCAAATAGACCAAACAGCAATCAAAGCGTAATATGCTTATGATATGCTAAGGCTGCTCAACTGCTTGCTATGACTTGCACTGACCACCAGGGGTCAGACAGTCAACTAGTCAACCAGTTGCTATGATGTGCACTGACCACCATGGGGCAGATGCTCCGACCGGTAGGTTAGCTTGCTGCTGGGGTCTGGCTGATTGAGCAAGATGGGCTGGACATGCCCTGGAGCCCTCCCACGGTCCCTCCCCGGCCCCATCATGCATTGGTGGGTCCCTCAGCCTGGCCTGCACATCCTTGCAATCTGGGACCCCTCAGGGGATGTTGGAGAGCCGGTTTCAGTCCGATCCCACAGGCCACTCCCCTTGGGAGGGCGCCAGATGCAGGGCTTATGACTGGCAAGCACTGCTGTGGCAGCGTGAGCCTCTCCCGATCAGGACTGATTGGGCGCGAGCCTGTGGCAGGCACAGTGGGGCCGGGATGAGTGGGAGGGGCAGTAGGAGCTGCAGGCAGCGTTGGACTGCAGGTTTCGGCCTAATCCCTGTAGGCCACACAGAGGGACCCCACCCATTCACGAATTCATGCACCGGGTCTCTAGTCCTATATAATAAAAGGCTAATATACAAATGGACCCAATCATGAATGACCGTTCGCTATGACACACACTGACCACCAGGGGGCAGACGCTTAATGCAGGAGCTGTCCCCTAGTGGTCAATACACTCCCATAGGGGGAGCGCTGCTCAGCCAGAAGCCAGGCTTAAGGCTGGTGAGCGCAGCAGCAGTGGTGGGAGCCTCTCCTGCCTCCACGGCTGTGCTAAGGATGTCCGACTGCCGGCTTAGGCCCGCTCCCCATGGGAAGAGGACCTAAGCCGGCAACCAGACATCCCCCGAGGGCTCCCGGACTGCAAGAGCACAGGCTGGGCTGAGGGATGCCCTCCCCCCGTGCACAAATTGCATGCATTGGGCCTCTAGTCTACACTAATAAAAGACAAAGATGCTAATTGACTGTACCTTTGTTATGCCCTAAGTCACGCCCACCAGCCCAATCAGAGCGACTATATGCAAATTAACCCAACCAAGATGACGGCCGGCAGCCACGGAGCTGGAGCAAGCAGTAGGCTTAGTTGCCCTGGCGATGGAGGAAGCCATGCTTCCCGCCAGCCCTGAGCCTACTGAGGTCTCCGCTCATGGCAACAAAGTTTCAATTATAGAAGACAAATCCCAGATACCTGCTTCCAGACAGCCTCCACTGGGAGCTTGGGTGGCTGGGGGTTGTGGCCAGCCTGCAAACAGCCATCAGCCCCTCACCCAGGCTGGCCACACCCTCATGGGGTGAGGGTCCCCGCTGGGGGGTCTTGGCCAGCCTGCAAACTGCCATCAGCCACTCACCCAGACTGGCCAGGCACCCCAACAGGACCCCCCTACCCTGAAGGGGGTGTGGCCAGTCTGAAAACGGCCCTCAGCCTTCACCCAGGCTGACCAGGCACCCCAGTGGGGACCCCCACACTGAAGGGGCTGTGGCCAGCCTGCAAACAGCCACCAGTCCCTCACCCAGGCTGGCCAGGCACTCCTATATAATAAAAGGGTAATATGCAAATTGACCCTAACAGCAGAACAACTGGGAATGACTGGTCACTATGACACACACTGACCATGAGGGGGCAGATGCTCAATGCAGGAGCTGCCCCCTGGTGGTCAGTGCGCTCCCACAGGGGGAGCTCTACTCAGCCACAAGTCAGACTGACAGATGCCAGTACAGCAGTCGTGGTGGGAGCCTCTCCCACCTCCTCAGCAGCACTAAGGATGTCCAACTGCAGCTTAGGCCTGCTCCCCGCTGGCAAATGGACATCCCCCAAGGGCTCCCGGGCTGCCAGAGGGATGTCTGACTGCCGGATCGGGCCTAAGCCAGCAGGTGGTCATCCCCCAAGGGGTCCCAGACTGCGAGAAAGCACAGGCTGGGCTGAGGGACCCCCCCCCCCCCCGAGTGCACAAATTTTTGTGCACTGGGCCTCTAGTTTAATTATAATTTTGTATCAGCCTGGAAGATTATATCTTGGAAACAAGGTAAACCTGTAGTTTTGCATATTCTGGTGACTTGACTTGGGCCTTATGTATATACTGCGATCTCAGCAACTTCTGCTGCCCATTCTTTTTCTTGTGTAGGTGTAATTCATCCCATCTGCCCTTCTGATGTCTCTAGGTAGAAACAGCAACAGTAGCCATTCTTTTGAGCACTAGTGAGTACTTGGGGTTGAAATTCCTAAGGCAAGAGTTTTAATTTTCCTTTATAAAGTGCCATTCTGTATATTTAACAAATGCCATAAAGAAAAAGAACTAAAGTCAAACCGAGAAAGTGCCAAAGCAACAAAATAATGTGAACAAAACAATCATTACTTTGTACAAAGGGAGTTCAGTTTTTTTTATTCTTTCTTACAGGGCCTATTTTCTATATACTTAATAATTTTAACATTACTAGACCAAATACATGTTACTGACATCAGACTTTAATTGTGGGATACTTAATACATAAAGAACTCTCATAAAACTTATCTATAGCTAAATCTAGAAGATCATTCTACTCTTAGACCCTATGTTCTGTATTTTATAACTTTGTTCAATCATCTTTGAGACTTTAAGGATAATGGTCAGGGACAGCACCGATCAATGTAATAGGGTTATCTAAAAATTCCATTTTTAGCAATTTAAAAAATATATGATTTAAATGTTAAGTTCTTTTCCTTTCCTGTAAGTGAATGAATGTGTTAGTGAGTACTAAAGTGGTTATGAAAATCCTGAACCAGAAAAATCTGAATGTACTCATCTGAGTACCTTTTTAAGGATCTCCTTTTATCACCCAAGCCCAGTAGTTTCTAAGGCAACTAGTCTTCACAGCTGCCTTAAGCTGGAATGACAGAAATGGATGTCTTTTCTGTTGATTTCTGGGAATCTAGTTTTGTTCTTGGTCACCCTCCTGCTCAGCTTGAATGGAGATTCATTTGTCTGGTAAGCAAAGTTTCCCTTCCATTTGGTTTTAGAGCATATAGATACAAGAGGATGGTGGGGGCCATGATGCTGGAGCCGCTTGTTTAAGCTGCAAGTTCAGGGGCTACCACAGTGACACTTCTGTAGTTGGTTAGGTTCTGGAACATGTTGCAGTCCATTTCCACATTGAGCCGCTGGAGCCCCACCTTCACCGGTGTGAACCAGAATTGGGTGCACAAGGTGTTTCCAGGTCGCACGGGACCTAATCTGAAATAAAGGAAAAGGCAGGTGCTAGTTCTGTCCCAGGCTGGTTGCTTTGCTGGTCCCAGTGACTCTGATCCTTTCCTACCTGAAGAGGTGGATCGTGACCTAAGTACCTTGCTGTTGAAACAGGAGGTTTTAAGGGGGTAGAAGACGGGAGCCGCCCTATGGTGAGCAGTTTCATGGGTGAGAAGAGAAATCCTATTCTAAGGGCTTCCAAGCTGCATCTGTGGTTTATCATCTGTGACTTCAGTCTGGTCCCAGTCTCTGTAACAGTATTGGGGTGTGTTTGGAAAAGCTATCACTATGGGACCCTCACACTGCTAAACACAGTGGGTATGGCAGGTGCATTGAGATGTCAATAGCCAACAGGTGGTGGTTGGAGCCTTATCAGCAGCCTCCTGGCCTGCCTGTGGGCCTTATGGTGACTGAGGGAATGGTACAGGTTTTCTTTGAGGAGCTTTGCCCCACAATTGATCTGGAAGACCACAGAAGTCTGGTTAAATCCGAACTTATTGGCAAGAATGACTCATTGAGCTTCATGAAGCTGAGGCAGTGGTTCAATACTAGACAACCTGTCAGGGACCTCAGGGACGGTACAATAGTCATCATGAACTCTAAAGTATATACTGTGTTATTCAGTGAAGGATGTAGTGGACATAATGAGAGGAGAGATGATGAAAGAAGATATTTGCAGCATTTAAAACCAACAAGGGACTAATACCTAGACTCTACAGGCCACTCCTACAAATCAACGAGGAAAAAAAGTGGGAACACCAAGAGAAAAGTGGTCAAAGACCATAGACAGGAGTAAATGGAAAAGGCTTATAAACACACGAAGAGTTAAAACAATAATGAGATAGTGCCTTATTTCCATTAGACTGGGAAAAAGAGAAAGTTGGGTATTGCTATGAGTGGAGGAATAGTAGGAATATAGAAACTGTCATGGAGTGCTGGAGGGAGTGAGGCTTCTGCAGCCATTCTGCAAACAAAGCTGATAGTACCTGGTCAAACCAGGTCACATCCTATGACTCAGCAATTCTATTCCTGGCATCTATATCCTTTCCTCCCCCACCAAAGTT